AAAGTAGATTACCATTCAATTCCGTTGTAGTAGTAGATTAATAGCGATTATGTCTAATTTCTAGGAATTGGGGACATTATCTTCGTTATGGAAACAATAATAACGTAAATTATATCAACTGATAGCACTTCACCGCTTGAACCAATAATTTGTTAAACTACTGATAACGCTCGATAATAACTCTGTTCGCTTGTGGGAATGTCAATTATGTGGTAGGGAGCGATTGATTTCGAATTGTAGTCTTTATTTGTGTCTTTATTGCTTAGATTTAATCATAACATAACATATTCTTGATTATTTTCTCTCTATTGATTGAGTTTCTTCACCCGCGTTTAAATTTCGTTAACACTAAAAGGCGTATCATGAGTCCAAAATGACTTGATTTCTTGATCAATTTATGCTGATCTGCCATTCTTAATAACTGCACTAACTTTTCGATCGTATTGACGTTAAGCCTGTCTAAAAGATGTCGTGATTTAAACAAAAAGCTTTAACTAGAATTTATTAAAATTATAATTTAAGCTTTAGAAAGAAAGAAGAAGAAAGAAAAGAAGAAAGAAAGAAAATATTTTTATTTAGCAAAATAAATACATCTAAGTAAGTAGGTACCTACTCTACAAACTACATCATCATCATCATCAACAGCCCTTTACAGTCCACTGCTGGACTATGAGCCTCCTCCACTATAGTGGAGGGTTTTGCCATAATCTCCACGCTAGGCAGGCGGGTTGGAGATCGCAGTTTAAAAGATTGATGTTTTTCAGAGAGCGCTGCTGCCCATTCTCTGTTTGATTTGTCACCAACCCCTACTCTTCCCGCGGGTGTCGTAAGAGGCGACTTAGGGACTACACATCAAACACATCAAACAAACTACATCATTCATCTTAAATACTGAGCTAAAGTGGAAATTGGTAGGTCCGTTGTAGATGTATGTCAAGATCTACAGCGACTATGTACTTCGAAAAGAAAGGAAAATCTCCAGTTATTCAACAATACCCAAAACACGTTCACCCCATCACTATCCTGTAAGTCCCATTTCGCCTAAATTATAATTAGTTGACCCGGCTGTTATTTGCACAGTGTATTTATTGACAAAATAAACAACAGATATTAACTGGGACGACCCCGTAATTCCGACATTGTGTGTTTACTTCGTTTTGGAAAGTTAGATTTAATCTTGATGGAAATGAGCAAGGGATTTGTATGGGGTTGCGAAATGGGAGAATTGTAGATTACTATTTATTGACAGAGACATTTAAGGGCACTGAAATTAGAAGTTTTGAGCAGCAGGGTTGCATGATTTAAATCAAGTTGATTTAAATCATGATTTAAATCACGACTTTTATTACATGATTTTTTTAATAAAAATCATTGATTTAAATCAATGACCGAAAATGGAGTTAATTAAAGGCTGGGAGTTAATATTAATCAACTGTAATGTTCGAAAACAATGTTAATATTAGGTGTTAATGTATGAAATTGTCGTTTTGTATGGAGAATCTGAAAAATTTAATTTTTTCATACAATCACATTTGCGATTTTTCAGATAACCACATAATTAATTTTTTTTGGCGGTGTTGCCTGCTCCACACATCAATTCTACGTAAATAAAAATGTATTCCGTAAGAAAAACTAAAGAAATGATCGCACAACCTAATAAAAATAAAAAAAATCAAATTAATCAAAAAAATCGTGATATTTTTAAAAAAAATCTGATTTTTTTGATTAAAATAAAAAAATCGTGATTTTTATCCACCCTGTTGAGCAGTGCAGGACGCTAGTCGTGCCTTTGCAAGACTGCACACTAAGACTGAGTTGCACCACCTTAACTTTAACCGGTGTTTTTGTATCCAGCCCAGGGTAACTGTTGGTAATTGAAATTTTAATTCCAACGCAGTTGCCGTGTCCTGAAAACGGACGACTAACGTCCGGCTCAAAATGGCTTATTTGAAAGGGCCTCAATATTTGTGGCTTTTCTCGCGAGGGTTTTCTTTGTCACAAAAGGTCAGCAAGGTTGCATGCAATCTTATGCTTTTACAACATTTCATAATCTAGTAAGTAAGTACTTAAATTCTTCTAAAAAATCTCTATGACTTGTTGAAAATTCAACAGATTTTCTTTCGACTTCAATTTCCATGGACACTCATTTTATAGCAAACTAGCTCCTTTTACAATGACATCCCTACCACAGTGTTTCGTTCGATTGTAATATTTCCCTAACTGCTCTTAGTGAAATTGAACCTCCAACCCGGAAGGATGAATTTCTTCAATAAAAATAATGGCGTTCGATTTTCCCTAATCCAGCGAGAAACTAAATTGATACTTATTTGATACCCTATAAATATTTCAAGAACACCAACAGCCTACAAAAACCTACCCTCACATTTGGCAATAGAGTCGCTTTTGACACTGCGCAGGTTTCGCGCTGATATTAATCATGGAGCTATCCAATGGGAATAACTCTTTCGTCGTCAATTTGAGACGCCCTCTAAATCAAACCTGGTTCAGTAGAGATGGATGGAAATGTACGTATTCACATTATTAATTCAAGTTCGACTCAGGCGTAAGCGTGTAACTTAAGTTATTAGTACTTTAAACTAGTCTTTCATATCTAAACTGAACAGACACCTAAATCGCTGAGCAGGTTTTTTATGGAAAATTGTTATACCTAGTGGCTGTCTGGCTGAGAGAGATGTTGCATTGCCTTTGTAGATTTATCTTTCTTTATATTTACAACTGTCTTTACATACCTATAACAATTTTGAATGTAATCTGTGCAGCGATTTTGAAAGAAAACAAAATGATTTATTTGAAACATGAGCGTCCTACTAAATAAAATACCATCTAAAATTAATCAAAAGTAGCAAAAAACTAATCATGGGTACAGGCAGGAAAATGGCACCAAAATGGAGTCAAAAACGTAAAAACTACGCAAGGAAATTAGATTCTTTCATCTCGCAAACATTTTTATAATCTAGAAATTGATACCCTGTATTAAAAACACGAGCCGTGGTTCATCAAATAATGAATCTTGGCTCAACATAATTACGTTTTTCAATTAATACTTACTAATTAATTATATTCGCCTTCATTAACGCGAACAAAAGGTACAGATTGCAGACGGAATCGCTCTCGGAATTAATAAAGAGAAGTCCCAAGTGATGATAGCTTCCAAGGTTCTGGATAATATAATATTTACGAATTGGTTTTAAATAAGTTTTAAATTGAAGGACTCTCGTTTTATAACCACAACAATCTAGATTAATTGGTTAAAATCTGTTCTTTTTTTCTGTCGGCAAGCTTATTTTGTTTGAATGCTGTATTTACCTGTAAAGGCATATCCTTTAGATTCTAGCTTTCTAATAATGTAACGATGCATGTAAATTGATATGTTGTTGGTAAATCTTTAACAATAAATAAACAATCGGCAAGAGTTGTTAGTTATTTCTGGACCTGAACCTAAGTTTGTACTCAACTTCCAGCTTGAATTGAATTCTCGGATAGATCCAGTTTATTCTGAAATCTAATTTGTGTCGTTTGAAAGAGCTCGTGAAGCACTTTCAGAATCAGTAACCAACCAGCTTTTCGACAGTTTAGAAATAATTGAGTGAGATCACTTATCGTTCCCACTCTGTATAGGCGATCATAGGAAGCGATTTCTCACAGATTCCATCAATTCCGTGGCACTGTTTTATTAACAGTTGTATGTATTCTTCTACCAACTTCTTTTTCATGTTAGATATCTCAGAATTCTGACTGAAAAAAAGAATGCGTCAAAAAGTTTTTGATAAAAAAATGTATTAAATTAATTTTTGAAGTATGTTGGGAATGTCGGGAAATACAAACGTTACCACAAGAGTACACAAGATGTCTTTTTGAGTGGTTTTGGGAAGAGACTATCCATCTATCAATCAATAGGTACTATCCTACAATAACAACATCACCCGCGAAGTGTTTGCGGAGTACGGAAGTGTAAGTGGGACGAGGGGGCCCTCGCTTGTTGTCCCAGTCTTCCTTCTATTGATCAAGGGCAAAGAGATCACGTCCGAATCCATATAAACTAGCTTTTGTTCGTGTATTCGTCTGCTTAGATCCAAAATGAAAGTAATTGAGGGCTTGGGACGCTTTTCTGTACGATCAAAATTTGTATATTTTCAAAGACTTCCAAAACTTTGGATAACTCTCACTTTTCCCGTGAATGTCATATGAGGTTACTAAAGACCAATAATTGTGAACATCAGATAAATGCTCCATTTGCCTCGGGGAAGGGATGTGAGCCCCTGTAACCCAAATGTAAAACAAAACAAAATTACAAAAAAAAAATAGTCCAGATAAAAGGTCTGAATACATCGGTGCTGGGACTCGAGCCAGTAGCCTAGCTACGGTCGGTAGCCTTTGACTTTAACTTGGCTACGATCGGTAGCATTTAACCCTAACCTAGCTATTGTCGGTAGCCTTTCTTAGCTACGGTCTATGACTCTAGTCCAGCAACGGTCTATAGCTTTTGAATCTAGCCTAGCTACGGTCGATAGCCTTTGACTCTAGCCTAGCAACGGTCTGTAGCTTTTGACTCAAACCGGTATAAGCTTACAGTAAGGCCCAGAACAGACGGTGAAACGCTACTGCAACGAAACTGCAACTTTCTGATGATTCTGATGAATGAAACTGAAACTGAAAGTTTCAAACTGGTCGCGTCATGTGTGGTCTCTCAACGGACGCTATGGCAGAAACTTAGATGTAACTCAAAAGTAACTAGCAGTTGCAGTTTCGTTGCAATTGCGTTTCACCGTCCTAAGACCAACAGCTGTTGGCATTTCTCTTTAGCTACACTGGTAGCTAGCTAACATTATTTTATTTTATTGGCGTTCAAGTACACAGGAGTTGCAGTGGTGGGACGAGAGGTGGGAATAGTCCCGTAGCTAACATTATTGACGTACTCTTCTCGCTTGTTCCAGATGTAGGTTACGACTACGTGGTGGACCAGCAGCCGATCGGCAAGCTGCTGTTCCGGCAGTTCTGTGAGCGGAACCGGCCGGAGTACCACAAGTACAACAATTTCCTAGATGCGGTCAGTATGCATTTGGTAAATAGACTGCACTTACATTTTTGCATGTTTTTTGATGTACGACCATGACGTGGTGGGCGGTTTCTTGAAGGCTGACTGGTTTATTGAGTTGTGTATCCTCTGAAGGTTCGGCCAAACCAACGCGTGCGGCTTGCGTGCGCGATGGCGATCAGACGTCGGAAATTTGCAGCGATTAGTTCCTGTCATTGGTTGCGGCGATCTATGCACGCGCAGTGATCGCAATGGCCATCGCCGACGCGAGGTGCACGCGTTACTTTGGCCGAAGCTTCCTTCAGAGATTTTCATGTGAGAAAATAAATTATAAAGTCACTTTGTGTACCTATTTGTTCCGATTGACCTTGCCGCCTGAACGGCTCTGTTCCGACACTAACCGTTTCAGACAATGTGACAGTTTTAAATTCGCTCGAACAAATTCACGGGAGAAAACACACGAAGCTTATTCGAAGTGAAAACTGTAACATTCGTTACTTTGTTTAGAAAGACTGGAATGTTATTTTGTTACCTTTCCTTATTTGTTTGATCTAAGAAAACTCAGGGTACGTCGATGATTACGGTCTTTAAGTGTCGAACTTGTCATTCTTTGCAGTTCTTTCGCTCTTCCTTAAAACAGCGTCAGCAAAAGTTCAAGTAAACTTGATACGATTTATCAAAATCATTTTCAGCCTTCAAAAAACTGTATGTAGAACCTTACAAGTAATATTCTTATCGCTTTATTTTATTCGGATTTCTTTGTAAGATCTTTAGCTATAACACAACAGTTTTCAAAGTGTTCTGTGAAAACGTTCAACACTTTGTGTACGTAATGTAACTTAGATTGCGTCTTTTGTCGCGAACTCCCGCCCTGGGTAGGATGTTTAATTGTTTAGTGGTTTTTTTTACTCTTTGTATTTTGTTTGAGATTCGGTTAGAGTGACAATGCCTAGAGTTGTGTTGGGTGACAATACAGGCTGTATCCACTCACACACAACACATCAGAAACTTAGTTGTTCGTTTGAGCCCTATGACGTCCACTGGAAAAAGCCCTCCTCCGAGGATTTCCATAACAATGACAGGAGCTTGTTATCACAGAGTAATGTTATAATTTAAAGAAAGGAGGGAAAAGAAACAAATGTGATAAGTTATTTGACATAGATTTTCGATAGTGTGAGAAAATGTCGTTTTATAATAAGTCATTTGACTATACCATCTGAAACACCCTAATAAAATCCTTTTTATTTTGTTTTCTATTTTAAAGCCTGCTTTCAATAGAGTGTTGTCATGAATAATTATTGGGTATTCCAACGCCATAATTAAAGTTCACCAACGTCAATTTTCTTTTAAAGGACACCCGGTATTTTCTTACCTTATTTCGCCAAGCAAGGCGATAGTGAAATGAACCAAACAAAGAGTCTACAAAGGCCTTATACCGGTCAATGATTATTCAATATGCAGATTCGCCTTTGATGTCTCCTGCGCACAATGAATACGTTGCATATGAATTTTATGTGCGGATGACGGCACATAGCTCTAAATACTGCATCTTATGTAGTTTGTAATGGGTGTTATTTTGCAACAGACTTGTATTGAATAGTTAAATGTGCTGGGTGCTGTTCAGACACTGACACGTTAAGTTACTATACTGGGGCGTTTTATGTACCTGTAAGGGCTCTTCCCTGCATGATCGAATCAGAAATGAGATCCGCAGGAGAACTAAATTGACTGACATAGCCCGCAGAATCGCTAAACTCAAGTGGCAGTGGGCGGAGCACATAGCTCGCAGAGCTGATAGCCGCTAGGGCAGAAAAGTTCTCCAGTGGCGACCACGAGCCGGAAGACGTAGTGTGGGCAGGCCTTCCAATACGTGGACCGACGATCTGGTGAAGGTCGCGGGACGGGAGGTGCCTGGATGCGGGCGGCGCAAGACCGGTCTTTGTGGAAATCCTTGGGGGAGGCCTTTTTCCAGCAGTGGACGTCATTCTGCTGAAACGAACGAACGAAGGGCTCTTTCACACGGAGATATACGTTTTTTTCAGTATCCCGTTTACGTGTGTTAATATTAACATTCACAAGAACATCAAGAAGTTTGCAGTGTCCCGCAAAAAGCCGATTCGCTCGAATTTCGTCTCCCAAATTAACCATTTCAGTTCCTGTTTTACTGGATCCGAAATCCGTTGATCCGAAATTTCCGAATTATCCCAAAGCTTGTACAATACAATAATACATATTTCTTTCTTGTAATAAGTTTAGAAGTTCTCAGAATGTTATCCTTCGCGATGTGATTTCGATACACTTCATCGAACTCGTATTGAGGTAAAATCTCTATCGAATACTCGATTAAGTTAAGTTCCGATTGTGCTATTCGATTTGATGAATGTTTCACAGTATAAGTGATTTGGGATGGCTACTCTATCAATGGGCAATCGATTTCCCGTTAACTCGATGTGTCTTTATCATCGTGGTATACGATGAACACGCAATATTATGGTGGTGCTGGCGATATTAGAATTTTAGAAGATGCCAGTCACTGCTTTTCTTTAAATTGTAAGATAGAAACATTTTCTCCAAGCTTTATAAAGTGAAATAAAGTTCCTTCTTTTGCAATATAACAATATTATCTATTAGTGAAGATTGTTACTAATGGAGTAGTGGATGCGAAAAAAGGAGTTCTTTTCCAAAGAACAAGAAATGATAATTGAAAATGGCAAGATTAGAAACGCTCGCGTTCGTGTTTCAGAGAGAATTAAATGAAATTGCCCTAGGTTCTTCTTATTCTATTTAAACTAAAAATAATTTAAACGCCATAAAGCTATATCAAATACAAATTATAATCATAGCTAAACCATACCTACCATTGATAAACACATATGTTTACGTGCTCTCTTCATTGGTACACAAAGTCAGAAATGGGATAAAGACACGGTCCATTAGTGCAGCTATTCATTTATATTGATATGTTGTACACCAAGATTCCGTGCAGGGTTGCCAGGTATAGCATAATAGCATTAACATGTTAGGTTATACTTACATTTCCTTGGTCTGTTGATTTATACAGCTTGAGTTCTCTCTGCGCTAAGCTCAAACTTTGAAAATATGTTTATTAAGAGCTCTAAGATGAATTCTGGTAAGCTCTCACCAGTCTAGCAGTCGACAATAGGGTACTCTCGAATTTATTTGCACTCTTGTCTTCCTTGATGTATTCCCAAGTCATCGTAAAAGATTAGCTGTTGACTTTACATTTACTCCCCATCTTTGTAGTTTTGATAGGTGTTATTTTCTTACACAAATGTATATGCCTGATGCTACCGACCTTACAAACACCGTTACATCTGTAATTGTACTCCAAATCCCGGGATAATCCAGCCTCCTGGTAGCCCTACTAATCCTGTCTTCTCGTTATACGGCCATCACGTCCAGCTGTACATTGTTGCCTCTTAAAGACTTGTAATAAGGCCGGTTTTGCAACAGAAATGTATAACCTCATGTGCACTGTTTATTTTCCTTGTACGACACCCGAATGGGAATTCGTTACGGTGAATAACCTCATTTTCTATATTATTGCTATTCCCTCTTTACCTGGGATTTCTCTGTAAATAGGCCGTGTTAGTGGAGTTTATTTTCTGTAAGTATTAGATGATTATGTAAGGGTAATTAAGTATTGTGATTTATTTAATAGCCGATTATAACGTGGGAGGAATTAGCTAGGAAATCGTAATTATCATGGAGAGGAAGGATTTAATAATACGTACAAAGATTTGCACTACGTGAAGAAACAGACAGTACCTTTACTTATCTCTGTGAGTTTATCTTCACAAGAATTCATCCAGCTTTTTGATAGGATTTCACGGGATTCAATAACCAAAATTTCTTATGTATGTATGTATTTGTGTACAATGACGTCTGTGTAAACGGCGAGCAAAGCAAGTTTATGGTTTCACAATATTTTTTTCATAACTGGCTTCTTTAATTGGGCCTTTTAAAGGCTTGTGAAAAGCTAAGTTACTTATATGCTTGGGTTGACGAAGTTCGAACGGACTTTAAACTGGCTGGCAGTCTGGCACTGACACCTTTGGCTGATGTTTCCTTTAGTGAATACACTCTAAAATACTCATAATTTCAAGTTGCGCCAACTAGACTCGCGCCCTTAGCCTAGGCGCAGACCACCGGCTTTTAGTTGGCCGATAGATGGACCCGATTCTAATTTGTACGAAGAATCGGCCGATACCAAATCGGTGTAATGTGCGCACTTTCATACATTTCCATACTGATTATCAGTCCGACTCACCTATCGGCCAACCAAAAGTGGGTGATCTGCGCTTAGGCTTAGCGTAGTTCGTTCGTTCGTTTCAGCCGAAAGACGTCCACTGCTGGACAAAGGCCTCCCCCAAGGATTTCCACAAAGACCGGTCCTACGCCGCTCGCATCCAGGCACTCCCGCGACCTTCACCAGATCGTGGCCAAGAGGCCAGCCCACGCTACGTCTTCCGGCTCGTGGTCGCCACTCAAGAACTTTTCTGCCCAAGCGGCCATAGCTCTTCGAGCTATGTGCCCCGCCCACTGCCACTTGATTTTAGCGATTCTGCGGGCTATGTCAGTCACTCTGGTTCTCCTACGGATCTCCTCATTTCTGATTCGTAGTGGCTAGCGTTATTTGAAAACTCAATCCGCTTTTCTTTGGACACGGTAAGCCCGTTTCTATTATTGCCTGCCAAGAAACGAGATATGCCGACATCATATTAATAACAGATCTCGATTCTCGATGTTATCGACAACGTAGTAACAAATAACGGACCGGAGATGGTATACGATCGATCATTCGTGATGGCTCCTATTGTGTACTTTTGTTCCATTTGTATTTGTTTTTTTGGAAATGTATATGACTTTTATTACTTACCAAATTCTAAGAATGTATTTGGTCTTTATTACTATCAATCGTTCGACTTAAGTTAGGCATCGATTGTGGACGTGTGAGTGATGTTTTTTTTTAAGTTAACTAATTTATTTATTTTTGTTTTGATTGGTTTTGACTTTGCACTGCCAATTTTTTTATATGCACTTGAATTTTTTTCACATTTGTTTTAATTAACCGTACTAATCTCTCTAACCCAATAGCTAAGTACTTAGTACTAGAAGAGCGAAAGCACCTACTATGACGTGCAAGAGATTTTTGATTTATCTAATAAATAGACTCTTTATTAGTAAAAAATATATTAATATTTAATGTATTTCTTTCTTTTCTTCTTTTGTAAGGTGTATAATAAAGTCTTTGTTTTCTGTTGTATTATTCTAAGTATACTGATTGTTTCTAACAAATTTAAAATACTGAATAAGATAACTATCACTTATCCGACAGGCGGAGAGGTACGAGGTGGAAGTGGACGAGACACGGGCGGCGCTCGCGAACAAAGTGTTCGGTCAATACCTGAAGGCGGACGACGAGCAGGCCGTGACCGACGTCGTGAGCGCGCGCGTCATAGAAGACACGACCGCAGTATTAGAAGGTAGGTACAAAGTGTGCTGTGCTCGCGAGCATTGTTCGCGCGAACATATCTCGCGAGCACAAGTAATGTGGGCGTCGCTCGCGAACAAAGTATTCGGTCAGTACCTGAAGGCGGACGACGAGCAGGCCGTGACCGACGTCGTGAGCGCGCGCATCATAGAAGACATGACCGCAGTGTTAAAAGGTACGAGTAGTGCTATGTTCGCGCGAACTTAACTAGCGAGCACAAGCAATGTTGGCGTCGCTCGCGAACAAAGTTTTCGGTCAATACCTGAAGGCGGACGACGAGCAGGCCGTGACCGACGTCGTGAGCGCGCGCGTCATAGAAGGTATGATTTGTGCTGTGCTCGCGAGCAATGTTCGCGCGAACTTATCTCGCGAGCACAAGTAATGTGGGCGTCGCTCGCGAACAAAGTGTTCGGTCAATACCTGAAGGCGGACGACGAGCAGGCGGTGACCGACGTCGTGAACGCGCGCGTCTTAGAAGACACGACCGCAGTGTTAGAAGGTATGATTTGTGCTGTGCTCGCGAGCAATGTTCGCGCGATCTTAGCTCGCGAGCAGAAGAAGCAAGTACCCTTAATGTACGGCCGGACGCTGTCAGGGAGCAAGAACAATTTGCAAGCAAATTAACGGCCCTCGAAAAAAGTATTGGCATACAACAATACGTACAATCTAAACTGCTAAGTACCGGTCTAAAAGCAACTTTTTATGAAACAAACAAAATATTTTATTCTGTACATGCGAAAGAAATTTTCCGAAAACTAAAATATCAATGAATATAAAATTTATGACGGTAAATAAACTTTCCAAACTGTCCGAGTTTCCGCGGAAATTCGAAGAGCCTGAATATTTATAAATATTCCAAAGTTTGTCGCAACGTTCCTGAATAACAACGCGGTGAGCGGCCGACCTTTTTATTAGGATTGATAAGTTTGATAACGCACAATAACGATAAATTCGCTGAGCAAACCCTTCATAAATATTTTATATTTGTACTTAAAATAATATACGGCCTGTTTAATACAGGGGTAAGAGATAGTTGGCAAAAACGTCCACAATTAATTTGGAATATGCTTGCTTCAATGGGCAATTTGGAAATGGCCAAGGCACATAGTACGCAGAACAAGGTTCTGGAGTGGAGGCCCACCCACAAGGTGGACCGACGACCTTATAAAGGTAGCAGGAATGCGCTGGATGCAAGCCGCCACCAATCGGCCATTGTGGAAATCATGGGGGGAGGCCTATGTTCAGCAGTGGACGTCCTATGGCTGAAATGATAATGATGATCATGTTTGCTTCAAACCAATAGAAGGTTTTTACAGGCTCACGATATTTCTAATTTATTTCTTTATCAAAAAGTAACTGATTATAACTTACCACTGCTTCAGGACCCGATCCCAACTTCTCGATAAAATCGTAGAAATAAATGGAATAAAGAAAAACACATAACACAAAGTCACCTGTCGTCGCTACGGAAACAATATTTCGCGCGTCGAGGAATAAAGTAACGAAGAAATAAAACGTTCTTCTTTCATTTCCTGGAATAAAACGAACATCCGGGAAAACTCAATGACAACACGATAGTGATCTAACTTTACCATTTTAGGCTGAGTTGCACCAACTTACTTTAACCGTAACTATGACAATAACTGGCGTGTTTTGTATGAAATTTGACAGATTATTGACGTTTGTTAAAGTCAAAGTAAGATGGTGCAACTCAGCCTAAGTTTTCCCAATCTATTACACCCTGTATATTGAAAAAAAAAATAACGTTGGCTACAATAATTTTAATAAAATGCCACGCATATTTGGAGAGATTTTTCATAGAATTTTGCATAATGGCTTTACTGCTTTTATCGAATAATAAAATCACGCCTTTGTGCCCTCAGAAACTCAGCGGAGCACAATAAAAGCGTCTTTCATGTAACTTTGTGTCATAGCTCCATTATTATGGTGCTAGTTATAAAATCTGCGGAGGGTTATCAAACGGGTGCCTGTGAAAGTAATTAATGATCTTAGACGTTACTTTCCGAAAACCCTTGTGATAGTAGAGGGTAAATAGTATTTTGCTTTTGATTTCAGTAATTAAAGTTAGTCTGATCTTAATTTTTACAAATAAATGCTTTAATTTCGTCCCAAAATGGAGTATCTTTCATCATCATCATCATCATCATTTCAGCCATCATAGGTCGTCCACTGCTGAACATAGGCCTCCCCCAATGATTACCATCGTGGCCGGTTGGTAGCGGCCTGCATCCAGCGCTTTCCTGCTACTTATAAGAGATCGTCGGTCCACCTAATGGCCTCCACTTCAGAACCTTGTTGCCCCAGTTCTGCGTACTGCCTGCACTGTGGAGTATCTTTGCTTTATACAAAAGATCTGTCTTTAATCACAGTGAACTTTGTCCACAGGCGGCTCCAAAGACATATTCGCAGAATGCATCAGATGCGTCAAGAACTTCCTGGCGGGGCTCCCGTTCGCGGAGTTCGAACGGTCCATGTATTTCCACCGGTACCTGCAGTGGAAATGGCTGGAGGCGCAGCCGGTCACCCAGCATACGTTCCGGATGTACCGGGTGTTAGGGAAAGGCGGGTTCGGGGAGGTGTGCGCTTGCCAGGTCAGTACAACTCCTAATGTATAGGGTGGTTGCAGAAGATGCTTCCTTACTGCGTGTGCAATAGGTGCTTTTGCACAAGGGTCATTTTCGATAGAACGATTACTCGGTAGGATCGCAAATCAGGTCAGTCCAACTCTTTAAACTTTGTTTTGTCTTCTGTCACCCGCTTTGCACTGGAGGAATGTCGACCCTTAACTTCGAACTCCTATGTTGTTCTTATTAAATTCGTTGCGGGTCCAATGACAACTGAACTTTCCCCCGGGACAAACTTGACCAGTGAAGGTCAAGTTTGTCCCGGGGGAAAGTTCAGTTGTTGGGTTTTTTATTGACGGTCAAGCTGTAGATTCTGGCTACACAGAATGCAGTGGTGGGAAAGAGAGGTGGCAATAGTACCGTAGTCCAACTCCAACAATACTCTTTGAATTGTTGAACCTAAATAAGATGCTGGCGCAATATGCTTTGCGCATGCCCACTGCCTGATGGGGACAGTCAGTCAGTGGGTTATGTGGGACTCTCCCCGCCGGGAGGGCGGGGCCTACTCACTAAAACCCATTGATACGAAGCCGCGAGTTATTGTCCTATTGGACATTCGTCCGCAGCTCAACTTATGGGGAAGCTGGTTTAGATTTTCCAATAGTTGCCTTTTCACTCGTATCTTAAATGGTTTGGGGTTGTATACATCTGGAATCTTTAGTAGGGTATATCACACTTGGCGTGTGTTCTTCTACTGATCAAGACCTCTCGTTTCCAGGTCCGAGCGACGGGTAAAATGTACGCCTGCAAGAAGCTGGAAAAGAAACGCATAAAGAAGCGCAAGGGGGAAGCCATGGTGCTGATCGAGAAACAGATCCTGCAGCGGATCAATTCAAGATTCGTGGTCAACCTGGCCTACGCTTACGAGACCAAGGACGCGCTCTGTCTCGTGCTCACTATTATGAACGGTGAGTGACGAAGCTATAAATGTATTTCTTTCCAGGTTATTTTTAAGGATTAGCTAGCTGAAGTGGCGAGATCAAGTGCACAGCATGCAGAACTGATGGTCGAGCAGCAAGTTTCTGGAATGAAGACCGCGTACCTTCAAGCGCAGCAACTCTGTGTGGACAGAAGACTCTATAAAGGTTGCAGGAAAGCGCTGGATGCAGGCCGCTAACAACCGCCCAATCTGAAACATGGGGAGTGGCCTATGGTTGTGAAAATGTTGAATAGAATTTCCCTAAGTGTCTAAAGCCCGCAGAATTGCCAAACTTAAATAGCAGGGGTGGGCACAAAGATTGTAGAGCTGATAGCCGTTGTTATAATAGAAGATAGAATCTATGTATTGAGTATTTGAGTATTGTTGGACTGGTGGACCGACGAACTCATGAAGGTCACAATGCAGGCCGCTACCAACCGGGCTATATGGAAGTCATTGGGGAAGGCCTTTGATCAGCAGTGGACGTCCTGTGGCTGAAATGATGATGATGATGATTGAGTATTGTTAGGTTACTTGCGTCTATTTTAGTTTCTAAAAGATTTATTTTAGTATTTTATGTGGCAAATCGTACATTATTGCAAATTACAAAGCTGTGAGAACTATAAAGCGCGGTGGAAGCAGTAGTCCGGTTATTTATCTGTACGATGCGAAGGTCGTAAAGCCACGGGAGGCTCGCCCACGATTTGTGAGTTGATACCGACATTAAGGCTTGTTCACACTAGTCGAGTAACTCGCTTTTAGGTCCGATTCGACCAAACTTTTACAGAGAATTACTCCTGGTATAACTGGCACATTGACAGTTTCAGTATGGGAAATATGTCAAACTGACGATTTATTCTGAGATTAAAATTTAAGTAACTACTTTTGTTTGGTCGAATCCACCCTTAGTCGAGTAACTCGCTTTTAGTAACTTAACTACTCGCTACTGACCAAAAAACCATTCGAACTTTGATAGAGTACAGTTTACAATAAGTACTGTACTTCTCCTCAGCACTGGCCCATTTAGTGTCCCGAAGCAGTGGTAAGGTTAGTACTGGGAAGTGTTTTTAAATGCCTACTTGGAAATAAAATGGATTTTATGAGCTTTCATGAGTAATTTTTTTAAGAAAAGAAGTTAGAAGAATGAACTCGACTAAATAGACCGGTTCGGACTCGGTTAGTCGGTGAGCGAGTGAGCAGAGACGTGTGGTGGGGGTGCTAATCGCCTGTCAAAATACAACAAAATGGATTGACTCCACTAAACGATTTAAAGCGCCTTCACATTATGTCGCAAGTTGTGCGGCAGTAAGCAGCCGCGCGAATGCAGCGGATGCCTTCTAAAATACCGCTGCAGCGCTGTCATATAGTATGAAATTACGAGTAGCGCGACAGTCGCGCTGCTAAAGTCGCCTAAATGTGAAGGCGCACTTACCCCCTTACCAATAAAAAGATACACAGTTGTTGATCAATGTTTTAAAATGACATTTCCATACTAAACGTCACTTTAAAACACTGTTCAACGAGCGTGTAAGTTTTATTAGTAAGGGGGTTAGTATCCTACTTGACTAAATATTTGCTGTTCAGATGATTAGCTACTATAAATTACTCGACTAGTGTAAACAAGGCTTTACATTAAGTAGGGGAGAAGCTTACGTTTACTACTTCGCACTGCCTTAATGTAATGAAGAAAATAAGAAGCAATGGAAGTACTATTTGTGTTGGCCAGTGTTACTATAAAGAGACCCAACCATAGTTCATAGTTAACAGGGATGGTGATTGGTGAAATCAGCCATCTAATACAAGTAATCGAGTATTCATATTTACTATTTATTTATTAAATAAGACTTACTCTATGGACTGATTAGCCTTTCATGTTCGTGTTACGCGCGATACGGATCTTCATCGCTGGGCTAAAAAGTTAAAATAATTTCTGGCGGATAGAATGTGGCTATCCTAGAGAGAGAAACGTCGATTAAATACATGTTGATTATTTTGTGGTTAATGCCTATTGGTGCCGTTTAAAAACAAGAACACCCATCATGGTGCCAATTTTAACAATTGCTACCACGTTGGGCGCCACTATATGAATTAGTCGTGTGAAGAAACAATTTGTTCAATTAAAGCTCTGAAAATAGGTCAATAAGAATGTTGAATATAAATGCCTAGCCTGGTAATTTTTGAACTTCAACAAAGCTGGTGGGGCCAAATATTATATTTTAATTCCTTGAAGTCGTCAGAATGGCCACCATGGTCATGGGTAATGTTGGCGTTAAACTCGAGAATAGCTTCTAGAAAAAAATACTCAACAAAGAAAACAAAATCCGATGTAAGAAAAACGGCGGGCGGAAAGAAGCTAGTTTAATTAAAATGGTGGGATCAGTGTTCGTTAAGTTTTTGACTTTGTCAACCTGTCTTACTCTTTACTTACACCCTGTATAAACAGCTAAGACTGTTTGTATAGGCTGATCCCTAAAACCACTAATCCGATTAGGACAATTTATACATTATTTTTTTCACCGAACCTTTACTTTGCAGAGAAAATTCGTGGTATTTTTGTGACTTCCATTTTGTAAGATTTAAAAACTGTGGTCTCTATATTAAACCTGGTGTTAAACCTTTGAGGCTTAGGCGCAGGGAGAAATATGCGAACATCGGTGAGCCTCTATTCTATCCATTCTCGATTGCCTAATTTCCACCAAAGCGGAGCGGAGTCGAGCGAAACGGAGATGTGTTTTGTTTAACAAATATGATTTCATTTAGGAAATCTGATTGGTTATTCAGAACAATTTTCCGCTCCGCTCTGTCTTGGTGGAAACTGGGCCTAATCTATTGGATTGCGGATAAAACTTTTGGATCGAGAGAGAACTCTATCTCTCTATTTTTTACCACTTAGGTGTTATTAGACCCATTTTATGACAAAAGTTACTTCATCATCATCATCATTTCAGCCACAGGATTGTCCACTGCCACGTAGGCCTCCCCCAATGACTTCCACATCGCACGGTTGGTAGCGGCCTGCATCCAGCGCCTTCCTGCTACCTTTATCAGATCGTCGGTCCACTACATACTACCAAGTTACAAATTAAGAAAATTTCAATACATTTACACACAGATAGGTTAATACAATATCTACCTATCGCCTGACACGTAAGTAATTGCAACAATGCCAACCTACATCAGTATTGTTTTTACCTTTAGTCTATAAATAAATGTGTGTTTGAACACACGGGGAAACTAAAATATTTTACCTTAAATACTTATTTCGTTTGACGTCAATGAGTTATTCTGACGAATATAATTGTTTTTATGTGCCCGCACACTGATAATGTGAAATAACTGCGATAGTTAATTACTAACAGAATTTAAGTGTTTTAAAAAATGTTAACGATGAATAAATGACTTTTTTTACTAAGTTATTTATTATAATCATCATCATCATCATATGTGGGACGTCCACCCACAAGGTTGACCGACGACCTGATAAAGGTAGCAGGAAGACGCTGGATGCAGGCCGCTACCAACTGTGCGATGTAGAAGTCATTGGGGGAGGCCTATGTTCAGCAGTGGACGTCCTGTGGCTTAAATGATGATGATGATAATCATCATCATATCCACTGAGGAACATTATCATCATTTTAGCAATAGGACGTCCACTGTTGATCATACGCCTGGCCCAATGATTTCCATAATGACCGGTTTGTAGCGGCCTGCATCCAGCGCCTTCCTGCTACCTTTATGAGGTCGTGGGTTCACCTTATGGGTGGACTTCCTACGCTGCGCTTGGGAACATAGGCCTACCACTAATCGATTTCTATATTAGGAAGCATACGTAACAATTAACATACATTTTTAGGTGTGAGAAATACGAACTTTACCTTCTCGTGGCTCTTATAAATAAATAAATCTTAGTTATTTATTTCTTGTAGTAGTTAAATGTTGAATTAATTAGAATTCGTAATTCTAGGACTAAGTTTAATCAAAGTCCAAGTTAGTCCTATCTGGGTCAGATTACTTTTACGTTTTTTTACGTCAAAAGTTTTAATAAGAAAAACAGACTTGGTAGTTGGTACTTAGCTTGTAAATGGAGCTAATAAAATGGATAAGAAGAAGTTTTTATGATTTACAGTGTAGTTAAAGTTCTGAGTGTGGGCGATTAATGTCTACAGTTCGAATAAAGTTAAACTTTTGGACGTTAAAATAATGAATACTTAAAAATGTACGTTTAAAAAACTGTAATCTACAAAAAAATCGTTCTTTCGACTCGATCGACACATTCACACCCTTTCACAAACCAAACGTACATTTTACCAGTTACATTACATACATAGAAATGCTCTAAAGTATGGCCAACTAGCAGCGATACAAAAGGTCGCTATGACGGTCGAGTTGACAATGTATTCTGTCTCTTCCCATCTTGTGTATTTGTCGTAATGTCTCGTTCTCCCGCCAAAATATGTCAAAGTCAGACGGGTTCACCCATGACATTGGGTTTGTTTACATTATTGGTATCGCTTCTCGTTGGCCGTACCTAATGTAGAAATTTTTAATAATTGGCCTACAAATTTTTACTAAAACATATTGTAACCTAAACTGATATTCTGCTGTGTACTATACCTAAATAAATAAATAAATCATAACCTTGCTTTTGGCTTCGCCGTAATCGTGTAAAAAGTATTTTGCTAGAAAATAGTTGCTTACTGAGAAAACGCTGATCTAGACAGATTTCGTATTTGAAAAGCTCGATTTCCGGCCTTTTATACGTCGGCGGCAGACGCGGAAATAGATAGCAAGGAAGTCTAGTTCGAGAAAGTTGTTTGCAGCTTTGAGCTTACTATTTTGGAAAAGGAGTTAAATCTGTACTAGCTACTGTCTGCCCGTGACTTCGCTTGCGTGTATTGGTCGGTCCAAAGACCAATTTAATTGTCATCATCATCATCATCTCAGCCATAGGACGTCCACTGCTGAACATAGGCCTCCCCCAATGCTTTCCATGCTGCCCGGTTGGTAGCGGCCTGCGTCCAGCGCCTTCCTGCTACCTTTATGATGTCGTCCACCTTGTGGGTGGATGGACGACGTGGTAGAATTTAACTGTAAAATCTCGAAATTCAGTAGTTAAGGCATAAAAAGGCGATGACTGACGCCTTGCCTATTGGTTTGCGTACCACTACTATACCAAAGGACATGGGTTTAATTCCCGAAATAAACAAAATACAAACATTTGTGTGCGTGAACATAAATGTCCGTAATGACGTAAATATAGCTCATAACCGGATTTATAGCGTCATCGTTTACCGTAATAAAGGGTTTGATTGGTATTTGATAGCTGAATACGGCCTGCCCACACGACGACTCCTGTCACCATGTGAAAATTGCTCAGTGAAGACGTGAGAATTAAGTGTAATTATTCCTTTACCTTCGAGACTCAAAATTTTTAAATGTTTATATTAAATATTTAATAGGTAAAGGGGAAAAATGCCAACTTTTGAAGTCACTACGTAGTTTTGTTAAAATATTCCTAAGTAGGTATTTGGTCTGGCTAAAACTAAAATTGCAATCTTTAAACATCTTGGGTGGGACTTCGACTTACCTCATCGGAAAAACCTTTAAGATATTTTTTTCAGTAGCGATTTCACCTGTATCTAAAATTGCTGGACAATCAATTCCACCTTCAATGATGGCCCAAAAGACTGGAAGCATTGCCTCGTTGCATAACATGACTTATCTGTTGACCAAGACAGCTGCCAACCTCTTATCACCATTCACGTCTATGAAAAAAGTAAATAGGATTATTTTACCCGACTGCGCCGGAAGGAGGGTTATGATTTTTCATCAAACCTTCATGTTGTCTCCAGGAGGCGACCTAAAGTTCCACATCTACAACATGTGCGGCGCCGATACCGGCTTGGGGCTGGAGCGAGCGCGGTTCTACGCTGCTCAAGTGGCCTGCGGGCTCGACCACCTGCACAAGATGGGCATAGTGTACAGGTAAAGACGATTATAAGTAGGTATATAACACGAGGCGTGATAAATTCCGGTCGCCGAGCAGATAGAATTTCGTCCAATAACCCCAAGCTACCCATCCTTATCGCTCGCGCGTAATTATATTGCGCCGCAGTGAGTCTGTGAGTGGGACAGCAATATGATTACGCGCGGGCGATAAGGATGGGTAGCTTGGGGTCATTAGACGAAATTCTATGTGCTCGGCGACCGGACTTTAGATCCAGCTCTGTCTCAGCTTCAAAATGCCTTCTTAGTCGTTTGGCTCTTGGCAGAACGGTCGTGGCCACGTTGAGGCGTTCACGTCAGTTTTAGAGGCAGATACAGCTTTTAGCACCACGATCTCTCGCCATCTCCCAGTTAGCAGACCGCCTTGTGCCGTCAGATATCACCACCACATATCTGTGTGCTTACCATGAGTTTACGTTAGGTGTGCTCGCTAGCGACTACGTAAAAAAATGACATTAATTGTATGACATATTGTGCAGCGTCCCTAGCGGCTACTTTCAAGAAACAAAATCTTCATAGATATTTTTGACGTACTCGCTAGCGAGCACACCTAACGTAAACTCATGGTACGTGCACTGGTGGCGACTAAAGTGGTGCAGATGGCCTGCGGGTTCGATCACCAAGATGAACATCGTGTATAGGTTACACATACGACTGATATATCAGTACGAAGTCACTAAGGAGATATCTACAACATGTGCGGCGCGGACACCGGCTTGGGGCTGGAGCGAGCGCGGTTCTACGCGGCCCAAGTGGCCTGCGGGCTCGACCACCTGCACAAGATGGGCATAGTGTACAGGTACAGAGTAACCATTCATAGCTCAGTCTCATTATATAGGTCAGTAAGGAGAAACAGTTAAGGAGACGCTCGTTGAGGAGTTTACAGCTCAGTAAGGAGACAGCTGAGTAAAGACGTAGCTCAGTACCAGGCTGGAACTAGTCTACGCGGTTCTACGCGGCTAGGTGGTCGACCATCTGCACAAGATGGGCATAGTGTACAGGTAAAGGGTTCAGGGTGCAAACTACATATAAGTAAACTGTAAAGGTTCAGTCAAACCAACGACGCGATCACACGCGATCAGCCGGCGTGCAGCGATGGCGATCAATGCATTGAATCATACATAGGTAGGCACACGGCGTACTAAAGGCAACAACTCTCAGTACAGAGACAAAACATAAAAAAACACAAGCTCAGCAGTAGCATAGAGCAGGGTTTCCCTTTTTTTTTTGCCAAGGAACCCTAATTGATTATACTTTTCCTAGCGGAACCCCCGTACTACTCCGCCCGCACGCCCTGCCCCTCCCTTGTGCGTAAACAAGTCGGTACGCGCGAACAACGTCGGTCACGAAACGTGGGATAATATTTTTTACGGAACCCTTGCGGCCTTTCCACGGAACCCCAGGGTTCCGCGGACCACCTTTCGGGAACCGCTGGCATAGAGACACATCTTAGTACACAGAAGCACAGGGCTGGGGCTGGAGCGAGCGAGGTTCTACGCGGCTCAAGTGGCCTGCGGGCTCGACCACCTGCACAAGATGGGCATAGTGTACAGGTAAAGTACTTCTACACAAGTGGGCAAACAGCACGAGATGTGACAGACTCAGCTCAGTACAGATACTTCCAGCTGTAGGCCGGTTACCAGATATGGTGACTGCGGGCTTGACCACCTGCAAAGGAATGACATCGATTGGGCAGGTACAGAGGTATTGACACAATTACACATGAGGCATGACACTCAGCTCAGTAAGGATATAATGTGTGAAAAACGCGCGTTTTTTATTCTGGTGGTGCACACTGCATTGATCGTTCCCAGAGGAATAGATTATTATCGACCTAACTACCTATAAAATACGATAGTAGCACTATTGTTTTCATATCGACTTTCTCACCATTAAAATAAATCCCATTCTCTTTCACAGAGACTGCAAGCCGGAGAACATCTTACTAGACGACGCGGGTCACGTGCGGATCTCAGACCTGGGACTGGCCGTGGATGTACCGGAGGGCGGCAGCGTGCGCGGCCGCGTCGGCACCGTCGGCTACATGGCGCCAGAGGTACTGCAGGGGACAGGGGATACCACAGGGGACAGGGGACACCACAGGGGACAGGGGACACCACAGGGGACAGGGGACACCACAGAGGACAGGGGACACCCCACAGGGGAGATTCGCTCTAAAGAGGGCAGGGAATGCCCCATAGGGTACAGGGGACATCCTGCCAGCACGGGCCAAGTTGCATCTTATACCTGGGACTGGCTGTGGATGTACCGGAAGGCGGCAGCGTGCGCGGTCGCGTCGGCACCGTCGGCTACATGGCGCCCGAGGTACAACCACAGGGGACAGGGGACGCCCCAAATGGGGGACAGGGGAAACCCAAAGGGTACATTGGACACCCAAAGGGTACAGGGGACAAGAGACACCACACGTACCACATTACATTGGGTAGGGGACATCTTGCTAGCACGGGCCACGGCGCATCACGGACCTAGGGCTGGCCGTAGATATTATGGAGGGTGGCAGCGTCGGCTACATGGCGCGCGAGGTACGTGCTTAAACACGAGCCAAGGCAAGCTTAGATCCTGGCTACACGGGAGGATGCGGCGGGAACGAGAGGTGGGAAAAACTTTTCACACACAGACCAGGGGGGCAGGGGACGCTCACATCCACAGCACGGAGGATGCAAGCCGGGGTCATCTTGGTATACGACGCGGCACCGTGGGCTACATGGTGCCCGAGGTACTGGCAAGGGGCAGGGGTCGCCCAAAGGGTACAGGGGACAAGGGACACCCACACGCACCACATTGGGCAGGGGACATCTTGCTAGCTTGGGCCACGGCGCATCACGGACCTAGGGCTGGCCGTAGATATTATGGAGGGTGGCAGCGTGGGATGGCGCCCTAGATACGTGCTTAAACACGAGCGAAGGCAAGCTTGTAGATCCTGGCTACACAGGAGGATGCGGCGGGAACGAGAGGTGGGAAAAACTTTTCACACACGGGCCAGGGGGGCAGGGGACGCTTACATCCACAGCACGGGGGATGTGAGCCGGGGCTACAATCTACATGACCCCCAAGGTACAAGCAAGGGGCGGTGAACGTGCCAAAGGGGCAGGGGACGCCCTAGAGAGGACAGGGAATGCCCCATAGGGGACAGGGGACGTCCTGCCAGCACGGGCCAAGTTGCATCTTATACCTGGGACTGGCCGTGGATGTATCAGAAGGCGGCAGCGTGCGTGGCCGCGTCGGCACCGTCGGCTACATGGCGCCCGAGGTACAACCACAGGGGACAGGGGACGCCCCAAATGGGGGACAGGGAACACCCCAAATGGGGGACAGTGAACACCCCAAATGGGGGACAGGGAACACCCCAAATGGGGGCAGGGGACACCCAAAGGGTACAGGGGACAAGGGACACCCACACGCACCACATTGGGCAGGGGACATCTTGCTAGTGCGGGCCACGGTGCATCACGGACCTAGGGCTGGCCGTAGATATTATGGAGGGTGGCACCGTCGGCTACATGGCGCCAGAGGTACGTATTTAAACACCAGCCAAGGCAAGCTTAGATCCTGGCTACACGGGAGTTGATGCGGAGGAAACTGGTGGGAAAAGCTTTTCACAGACGGCCCACGGGGGCAGAAGATGCCCCCATCTACAGCACGGAGGATACGAGCCGGGGTCATCTTGGTATACGACGCGGCACCGTGGGCTACATGGCGCCCGAGGTACTGCAACAGGAAGCAGGGGACGCCCTACAGGGGCAAGGGACACCCCACAGGGGGCTGGGGACACCCAAAGGGTACATGGGACACCCAAAGGGTACAGGGGACACCCAAAGGGTACAGGGGACAATGGACACCCACACGCACCACATTGGGCAGGGGACATCTTGCTAGTGCGGGCCACGGTGCATCACGGACCTAGGGCTGGCCGTAGATGTACCGGAGGGTGGCAGCGTGTGCGGCCTCGTCGGCACCGTGAGCTACATGGCGCCCGAAGTATTACAAAGGGGGGACAGGGGACGCTCCTCAGGGGACAGTGGACGCCCCGCAGCGGGCAGGGGACGCTTCACAGTGAGCAGGGGATGCCCCATCCATAAACGTCGGGCTACATAGCGCCCGAGGTAGTACCAGGGGGCAGGTGGTGTCTCATAGGGGGCAGGGGAAGCCCCAAGGGGCACTGGACGCCTCACGTGGGACAAGGGACTTCCCACGGGGGGCGGGGGACACCCTACAGGGGCAAGGGACGCCCCACAGGGGAAGGGGACACTCCACAAGGGACAGGGGATATCCTGCTAGCGCGGGCCACATGCGCATGTCCCCAGCATTGCATAATTAATTATGGTTATCATCAACAGGTCATTTTGTCTCCATTGCAGGAGCACGATGATCTTCAAATTTGGAAGATTTGATCTATTTTCCAGGGGAGCGGGGGATAGCTCTTCCCTTTAATATTAGGGTACCAGAATCCCTCCACTTTTACCTTCATCTTGTATATTTCACCGTAACATTGTGAATTCCGACAAATTATAATCTGACGTAGTTAGATTACAATCTAACCTAACCTAACCCACTATTAGTTTACAATCTCACGCGTTATATTATAAACTGACGGAGTTCACAATTTCGCGTTGACATATATAAACTAATCCATTGTCTATGTGTTTCCAGGTCATAGACAACGAGCGCTACACGTTCAGTCCGGACTGGTTCTCCTTCGGCTGCTTGGTGTATGAGATGATCGAGGGCCGCGCGCCCTTCCGCGCGCGCAAGGAGAAGGTCAAGCGGGAGGAGGTCGACCGCCGGGTCAAGGTCAGTGATGTGCCAAGGGTCAAGGTCAAAATGTGTATCAATTTCCAGCATATTGGAATTGTTTACCTACCTACCTAATTGCAATGAGGGCTATCGTTTTTATACTTAACAGTTGGCACCCCTGACGATTGGCAGGACCTTACTCTACAGTCGCGCCATCTTGATGAGTGCAAATGCGATAGTCCTCCTACCACTTTCGCGCTCACCAGTTGGCGCCACTGTCTTCGCTACTAGCAAGGGACAGGACCTTACTCTACAGTGGCTCCAACTGGTGAGCGCTAAAACGATAGCCCTCATTGCAGAAGGTCACCCTATGAACTTTTATTCAAAGCACCTTGTCAGACAGAGTAAATATTTCTATTGTGAAAACGCTTCTATTACAACTAGATTGGCTAGAATAGTAGTAATGTCAACCTGAAATTGTGAATTCCGTCAGTTTATAATAAAACGAGTGAGATTGTAAACTGTGGGCAGGCCTGGCTCACTCCGCGCGGTACATCCGATAATTACCTACAGCGAAGCGCCCCGCCGGCGGGTATTATATCAGTCGATTGTCACGCGCGCGCTCGTCAGGACGCTGGCGTGCGTTTTAGTATGATTATAATTCTATGATCGAAGTATTATTTAAAAGCGGACATAAAGAGAAATAAATATTGTGCGGCGTTCGGGTGTTTAAATTCGAAAAGTAATCTACCGGATTTATCTTTTTTTTTTCGCTTCCCAAAGATGCTGAAAGGTATGTTGGCCATGTAGGTAATCAATAATTCTTAGGATAGTATAGGAACCTAACCTACTATGACTACTGCTCAGAATGCGTTCGTTCGTTTCAGCCAAATGACGTCCACTGCTGGACAAAGGCCTCTCCCAAGGTTTTCCANCCTACATACGTACCTCATTACAAATGAGTAGATTAATTATTTTTTCACTAGACAGCAACCCTAACAGCGTAAGAAGAGTTTAGAGGCACGCGATAGAAAGAGACAAAACTTGTAGGTGAATAAAATTGTAGGTACGTAGTGCTGTGCGAGCTGAATTCCACTGTATCGCGTCAATTCGCGTCGTAGCAAGACTCGCATTTATTTAAATCGTCTTGCGGAGTAATCCTTCTGTACCTGTACTATTACTTATTCTGTGCTGTGGGTTAGGTTAGATTGTAATTTAACTACGTCAATCTGACGGAATTCACAATTTTAAGGTGACAGTTATAAGCGACGCACATTAATTACGACGCGAAAGTGACGCGCGTTTGTCTCTTGTGGGATACGGAGGGTAAACGTCACTTGTTTTTCTGGAACATTCTTCAGAGAGCGTTCATGTAGCCCTTTCTTTTCGCACTGTAGGTAACTCAAAAGGGTATTTTTGTCCTGCAGATACCTATTATAGCCTAAAAAGTTCCATTTGCTTCCAGCACGAGCAAGAGAAATACTCAAGCAAGTTCAGCGAGTGCGCCCGATCTTTATGCAGCGGGTTGCTATGCAAGTGCGCGGGCGCGCGGCTTGGCTGCGGCGCGGGCCGGCGCGGCGCTCAATTGGTTAAGGCTCATCGGTTCTTCGCGCAATTAAACTTTGCGAGGCTTGAAGCTGGCATGGTGGACGCGCCGTTTGTGCCTGACGTGAGTATTGTAGTCCCTAGTAGTGTTTATTTTCGCAGCAAGGATCAAGAGAACGGTTGGCGCATTGGCGCGGGCGGCGCTTCGCATCCGACGGGACCCTAGTTCAAACCTCAAGGACTCCAGAATTTTTCTAATTTGTTTCAGTATGTATCTGAGATGAAATCTCAAAAATCATAGAAATATGTAAGTAAAAAATGTAAAAAAATATAAAATAATTTTCCATCATAGTGAATTTTCATTGTGGTTAAAAACAAAATCCACAACAGTCAAGAAAAAAGTGTGACGAGAACATCTCGGTGCTTGCTTCAAGTATCAAACTGGTTAAGACGCAGGGGTTCCTTCGAGAAACGTTATCCAAACTTTCGAATGATGCCATCCCTCTCACGCAAAGCGCAATGCCAGCATGAGTGACAGTGACATATAGACCCGAAACTACTGAGTAGCTAGTTCTTCGTATACGCTTCCTATACGCGGACGCATGCCTGGGTTACCATGCAAGGTTACGTGGAGTAAGCTGTGTAAGGTAAGCAGTAAGTAGCAAACTGACCAAGACTCAAGACGCTTGGATTCTTTGAATCAACACTCAAGACACTAGTTCTCTGTGCGCTCGCTATGCAGCGGGTTGCTATGCAAGTGTGCCGGCGCGCGGCTGGGCTGCGGCGCGGGCCGGCGCGGCGCTCAACTGGTTAAGGCTCATCGGTTCTTCGCGCAATTAAACTTTGCGAGGCTTGAAGCTGGCATGGTGGACGCGCCGTTTGTGCCTGACGTGAGTACAAGAGATGCTTAGTTTCGCAGCTAGGATCAAGAGGTCGGTTGGCGCATTGGCGCGGACGGCGCTCCGCATCCGACGGGACCCTAGTTCAAACCTCAAGGTCGCCAGGATTTTTCTAATTTGTTTCAGGGTGTATTTAAGATGAAATCTCAAGAATCATGAAAATAAATAAAATGTAAGAAAATAAAAAATAATTTTCCATCATAGTGAATGTTCATTGTAGCTAAAAACAATGCCACAAAAGCCTAAAAAAAGTGTGACGTGGAACATCTTGGTGCTTGCTGCAAGTATCAAACTGGTTAAGACACTGCTGGGTTATAGATGACCCACGCTGAACTGTCCCGCCAAATTCAATGACAGGGGGGCGCTACCATCGTTCAACTATATGGTTTCCAACATGGCAAAAATCTGAACCAGCGATCCGGTATTGACGGTGGCGCCCCACTGTCAATGTCATCGACAGGACAGTCCAGTATTTTGGAACTATACGTTGAAAAACGTTATCCAAACTTTCGAATGATGCTATCCCTCTCACGCAAAGCGAAATACCAGCATGAGTGACAGTGACAGATAGACCCGAAACTTCTGGCTCAACTGGTTAAGGCTCATCGGTTCTTCGCGCAGTTGAACTTCGCCAGGCTTGAAGCTGGCATGGTGGACGCGCCGTTTGTGCCTGACGTAAGTAGAAAGAGATAGTGGAGCGTAATTTCGCGGCTAGGATTAAGCGGCCAGTTGGCGCATTGGCGCGGGCGGCGCTTCGCATCCGACGGGACCGTAGTGTTCAAACCTCAAGGACACCAGGATTTTTGTAATTTGTTTCAGTATCTATCTGAGATGAAATCTAAAAAATCATAGAAATATGTAAGTAAAAAATGTAAAAAAATAAAAAATAATTTTCCATCATAGTGAATGTTCATTGTAGCTAAAATCAAAGCTGCAAAAGTCAAGAAAAAAAAAATTACGAGAACATCTTGGTGCTTGCTTCAAGTATCAAACTGGTTATGACACTGTAGGATTACTTCGAGAAACGTTATTCAAACTTACTAATGATGCTATCCCTCTCACGCAAAGCGAAATGCCAGCATGAGTGACAGTGACAGATAGATCCAAAATTACGCGGGGCATGCCTGAGCTGCGATGAAAGGTTAAATTACGTCAAGTTGCTGTAAGTAGGATAAGTAGTAGTAGCAAACTGATACTCAAGACACTGGATCCTTTGAATCAACACTCAAGACACTAGTTCTCTGTGCGCTCGCTATGCAGCGGGTTGCTATGCAAGTGCGCGGGCGCGCGGCTGGGCTGCGGCGCGGGCCGGCGCGGCGCTCAACTGGTTAAGGCGCATCGGTTCTTCGCGCAGTTGAACTTCGCCAGGCTTGAAGCTGGCATGGTGGACGCGCCGTTTGTGCCCGACGTAAGTGTAGCGTAGTTTCGCAGATGGAGTTAAGGGACTGGTTGGCGCATTGGCGCGGACGGCGCTTCGCATCCGACGGGACCCCAGTTCAAACCTCAAGGACACCAGCATTTTTGTAATTTGTTTCAGTATGTATCTGAGATGACGTTTGGGGTTGAGACTATGGGACCATGGGGTCCAAGCGCTCGTTCCTTTTATAAGGAACTGGCAAAGAGGCTCACCGAGGTGACCGGTGATCAAAAGGCTGGCAGCTATTTTGGTCAGAGAATTAGCCTGGCCATTCAACGTGGCAATGCTGCCAGCCTTTTGGGCACGATTCCTGACTGCGGCGCTGGGGGTGAAGTATTTTTTATTTTGTAAATAGTTTTTATCATTAGTAATTTTTAAATTTTAGTTTTTAGTCATTTTAAGTTAATGTAATATTATAAAATTTATTCTCTCATAAAAAATATAATTAAAATTACATAAAAAAAAAAATCCGTCATAGTGAATGTTCATTGTAGCTAAAAACAATGCCACAAAAAAGTGTGACGAGAACATCTTGGTGCTTGCTTCAAGTATCAAACTGGTTAAGACACTACAGGGAAAAAACTCGGAAAAACGTTATCCCTCTCACGCAAAGCGAAATGCCAGCATGAGTGACAGCAACAGATAGACGCGAAACTTCTGAGTAGCTAGTTCTTCGTAAGCGCTTGCTATGCGAGTGTAAGGTTAGTAGTAAGTAGTAAACTGATCAAGGCTCCAAGACATTGGATTCTTTGAATCAACACTCAAGACACTAGTTCTCTGTGCGCTCGCTATGCAGCGGGTAGCTATGCAAGTGCGCCGGCGCGCGGTTGGGCTGCGGCGCGGGCCGGCGCGGCGCTCAACTGGTTAAGGCTCATCGGTTCTTCGCGCAGTTGAACTTTGCGAGGCTTGAAGCTGGCATGGTGGACGCGCCGTTTGTGCCTGACGTAAGTAGAAAGAGATAGTGGAGCGTAGTTTCGCAGCTAAGATCAAGCGGCCGGTTGGCGCATTGGCGCGGACGGCGCTCCACATCCGACGGGACCCCAGTTCAAACCTCAAGGACTCCAGGATTTTTCTAATTTGTTTCAGTGTGTGTTTAAGATGAAATCTCAAGAATCATAAAAATAAATAAAAATATAAAAAATAATTTTCCATCATAGTGAATTTTCATTGTGGTTAAAAACAAAATCCACCAAAGTCAAGAAAAAAGTGTGACTTCTCGTAATCATGATGCTTGCTGCAAGTATCAAACTGTTTAAGACGCAAGGTTACTTCGAGAAACGTTATTCAAACTATCGAATGATGCCATCCCTCTTATAGTTCCAAAATACTGGACTGTCCTGTCGATGACATTGACAGTGGGGCGCCACCGTCAATACCGGATCGCTGGTTCAGATTTTTGCCATGTTGGAAACCATATAGTTGAACGATGGTAGCGCCCCCCTGTCATTGAGTTTGGCGGGACAGTTCAGCGTGGGTCATCTATACGCAAAGCGAGATGTCAGCACGAGTGACAAGTGACAGATCGATCCGAAACTACGCGGGGCATGCCTGAGCTGCGATGAAAGGTTAACTTACGTGGAGTTGTGTTGTAAGTAAGGTAAGCAGTAAAGTAGCAAACCGATACTCAAGACACTGGATCCTTTGAATCAACACTCAAGACACTAGTCTCTGTGCGCTATGCAGCGGGTTGCTATGCAAGTGCGCGGGCGCTCAACTGGTTAAGGCGCATCGGTTCTTCGCGCAGTTGAACTTTGCGAGACTTGAAGCTGGCATGGTGGACGCGCCGTTTGTGCCCGACGTAAGTGTAGCGTAGTTTCGCAGCTGTTGCTGGGTGGCGATTTGGCGCAACGGCGCGGAAGGCGCTCCGCATCCGACGGGACCGTAGTTCAAACCTCAAGGACGCCAGGATTTTTCTAATTTGTCTCAGCATGTTTCTATGATGAAATACCAAAATTCATATTATAAATAATTAAAAAGTAAAAAAATTTTAAAAAATAATTTTCTATTATAGTGAATGTGCGTTATAGCTAAAAAAAGTATGACCTTAAGCATCTTGGTGCTTGCTGCAAGTATCAAACTGGTTAATAAAGACACAGCAAGCAAGGGTTACTTCGAGAAACGTTATTCAAACTTTCGAATGATGCTATCCCTCTCACGCAAAGCAACATGCCAGCATGAGTGACATATTGGAAGGCTGGACTAGATTGCTACGTGAATTAGTAAAAATCGAGGGAGAGAATTTACTGGAATACCCCTCCCCATGAACACAAACAAAAAAGCAAGACAAAACATCTGATTATGACCTAAGTCGATTGCAGATATAAAAAGGGAAAAAAATGTGTGACAGTGACAGACAGACCCGAAACTTTAGTAGCCCTACTAAGTTCATCGTATGCGCTTGCTATGAAGCGGGTTAAGGCGCACCGCTTTTCGCGCAGTTGAACTCTGCGAGGCTTGAAGCGGGCATGGTGGACGCGCCGTTTGTGCCCGATGTAAGTGTAGTGTAGTTTCGCAGATGGAGTTAAGGGACAGGTTGGCGCTTTGGCGCGGGCGGCGCGCCGCATCCTACGGGACCCTAGTTCAAACCTCAAGGATTCCAGGATTTTTCTAATTTAGCATTCGTGTAATGGGGGGTGAATGGTTTATAGATTTGTCACTTCTTCACTTCACCAGCCGATGTTATGTAATGTCCCGATCAACAGAAGATTATAGTCCTTCTCACCTAAGCACTCGATTTACTATAATTATGGATGGGATCTTTGCGGATGAGGGGGGATAAATTAAGGTATAGGGAAGCACAAAAGATCCCACTGGGTCGCCGTGCACTGCGCCCATGCGCGGCCCTCTAGATAAGATAAGATAATGTCCCGATCTGTTGGTAAGGCAAGCTTGCGACGTGTTTAAATGGCCTAACTTAAACTGATAATTATTTTAATTTGATTGACTTGAAAATGACTTATCCATTATTAGGCAAGATCCCTGTATCCTGTATTTTTTCCCAACTGCTTTAAACTTACAATCAAATTATTGCATTACAGCCGCACGCGGTGTACGCCAAAGACGTGCTCGACATCGAGCAGTTTTCCACCGTGAAGGGCGTCAACTTGGACGCGGCCGACGACACCTTCTACGGCAAGTTCAACACCGGCTCCGTCAGCATCCCGTGGCAGGCCGAGATGATCGAGACAGGCTGCTTCACCGAACTCAATGTCTTCGCGAGAGGTGAGCACGACACTACGCTTTTTTTTCGTTTGTTAGTCGTATACCTCGAAATCAAAAAATCCTTGTTAGTCCAGTAGAATTAGCTTTTAAATCGGAAATAATTCCTACAAAAGATTTTATTGTTTTAATGGCTTCATTGGTTGCCCATTAAGACTCTCCTAAGTTTTCGACTTCGACGGAGTTGTGCTTAAGTGGTGGGGGCCCCCGAAAGGGGCATTTTTTCGGTTTTCCGGTTATACCGCGTAAAGGACTTACCCTATCAAAAAGTGGTCTTCATGACGGTTGAAGGGCACTTAATCCTGCATTGAATAAGACCAAATTCATATGTTTTGGACAAACCGTTCTCGCGCTAAAGTTCGGCAAAGTAGAAAATATACGTATAATTAATTATATTCAAACATTCTCTCAATTGTTTTTTATAAGATGGTAAGGAAGAATTAAAAATGTCAATCGTGTTAAACCTATTATTATATTCCTTACAAGATCTAGGTACAAAACTGTTGCTAGCATAATTAGTCCTAGTGAGAGAAATAGAAAAAAGTTTTGTAGAACGCGAACTCGTCCGAGGGCACCTAAAACTAATATTACTTAACAAAAAAGAGGAGTCAACATGGTTATTTAAAACTTTGTAGAGAAAGACTTGGTCTTTCTCAATGCGACGGTCTAAAAGAAATGGTACATTAGGAAGTGTTCCGCCAAACTTATCAGCTTTGTAACGTAAGTGTTTTTCAAACTTTTTGTTAATTTTTTCTATTGAGTCAATGAAGCCATTAAAGCAAAAAAATCTTTTGTAGGAATTATTTCCGATTTAATCAATTTTTGTGTTTAATTCTACTGGCCTATAACGTCTGTCCTGAGCTTGAGCTACGACAAAAGGGCTAAAAGCAAATCAATCAAAACTTTTCTCAAACTTCATCAGGTGCAGATTTTGCCTCTTATGATCCTCGCTTAGCAAACATTTCGAACGCGCTCCGATTAAGACATCTGCGCTTAACTTACAGAGCGATTTGCACCCAAGCCTGCCACTGTTTTTTCTTCGCGATGGATGCGTGTCTAGTGAGTTTAAGAAATAAGAAGTCTAGTGTTACTCACTAGACTTCTTATTACTCACTAGGCGTTATTGCATTATCGCAAGCCATCCGGGCTTGCTTACAGAAAAAACATGGTCACCCGCCCGTCAACCAATCGCAGATTGCGCAGAGGCTGCGGGCTCACGGCTCAGGCTCGCTATTAAACGAAACTGAATTTAATAATGTATAACTTCATTGACACAACATTATTATAACAGTAGGTACAGGACTATGAAATGGTAGGATATTATGCCAACAAACACATTATATTATCTATTAATTTTTTTTTAATTATTGTCGACCGNAATTTTTTAACTTCATCGCAATGTTTTAACATATTTTAAGTAAAACTTCCTCGATTTTTGTTAAGATTGAAGCAAGGATCACTCAATCCACATGCACATTTTGGTGTAGTGGTTCGAAACGGACTACTATTCCGGAGGTAGCGGGTTCCATTCCCGCACAGTACAAACATTTGTGTGCATGAACATATTTGTTTGTATCGGACTGGGTGTTTTCTATCTTATAATATGTAGGTATGTATTTACAAAAAAATTGTATTTAAGAATATGTTTGTTTATATCCGTTGTCTAGTACCCATAGTACAAGCTTTGATTAGTTTGGGACTAGAAGCTCAGTGTAAAATGTCCAAGGATATTTATTATTTATTTATTATGGGCTGGGGTGGTGGCGTAGTGAGGCGGGTCGTTACATTTCCTCTAATATGGTCGAGTGAAGCGATGGCTGGTTCACTCGTCATGTCTGTGAACAGGCGCTGCTTTCGGGGACTGGTCAATCGCAAGTTATTCCAATTTATGTATGCGAGTCATTTCTACTAGTATTTAAGTAATCTGTAAGTCTACATATTAGCACGTCACTACCTTGTTTAATATACCACGCAATTTTGTATACCCATTCTTATAAGATACCCTATACAAGAACGCATGGTAAATTCAGTGAACTGCTCCTGAATCGAATGTACCTACTACTGCTATTTATTTATNTCATTTTCGTTTTCGTTTTCGGCCGAAAATGAGACTGCAGCCGAAGCTTCGTTTTCGTTTCCGTTTTCGGCTGAAATCCATATTCGGTCGGACACTAATATTAACCGGCAGACAGTGGTGACTGAGTTTGTTGCGGCGCTTCTTCTCAGCACTTGCCAAATGTTGGTCTCGAAGCGCTGGTAGGGTAAAAATGAGACATGTAGAGGCTCCTTAAGAGCAAAATGACGATTTGTAAGAACTATTTATTAGTCTAAACAAATAAAGAAATTTTGACTTTGACTTTTGACTTTGATTAATAAACATGAGTATGTGCATGTTTCTCCGCAGGCGAGAACGGCGAGGAGCAGGCGCCGCCGGACCTGACTTTAGCGCCCGCCGCGCCGCCGCCCGACGATACCGGCTGCTTCCTCTTCGCACGACGGGTGAGCATTCTCGAATAGCGCCAGTTAAAAAACTCGCTAGTAGCGCCATATGTAGTCACGAGCGATCAAAGGCGACTGAAATATCGACCTATTGGAGTAATTTTTCAAGACTACATTATTTCACTTGGCAATCTCTAAAATACTTTTCCTTAATTACTAGGGCCTAGAAAGTTACAAAGAAAGACAGAAGAAATGTTTGTTCAATATCACCGACAATACATTTAAGTTCAGTGTTATTAAAGCGGCGGTTTGCAACGACTTATTGACGTTATGCAACGTATAAGCAGAGTAAATACAAATGAGTAGGTCATCTTTATAGAAACGCACCGAGCGCGGTTTGTATGTGACAAAATTTAGCGGGGAGTCAGGCGTGGTTGCGCCGAATTTTGTTGGCGCGCTCACATACAAACCGCGCCCGTGCGTTTCAATGAAGATGACTTACTCTGGTATAAGCGACAGTTCACTTAACAGGCGTTTTGTTATCATAGGGGTCACTTAAAAATTAGGGATTGATGGTGAAAACGTGTACAGTTTTTTTGTGCAAAAGTATAAATAAATAAATAAAACGAGCAGTCGGTTTTCGTTTCGGTCGCTTATCTGTAGCAGCGTGAACCGCCGCCTTTAGAATTATCGGCATTATTGGTTTGCACTACATTGAATGGTTCGCAGGTGCTGTGTCCCCAAAAGAAGATTCCGCCGCGCCTTCGACCCGTGCCCGTGCCAGACCATCTGCTGCCGCCGCCGTCCAGCTGACCGACCGGCCACGACACGACACACGTCACGACACAACGCGACCCGTGATCAGAGGCACGCGCCGCCACGACACGACGCCGACCCGTGATCAAAGGTAGACTTGCGTGTTCTTTGACGTTTCTTCACGAAGTTTTCTTGTTTGACAGATAAATGTTGTGGAAGGAAAATAGAGGAAAATTGTTTTTTGGTTAAAACAAAGCGACTGCCACAAGGAACATACACAGTTCCGCAATGTGAGGCTGGGTTGCACCATCTTACTGTAGGTATAAAAAATGTCAAAAGTCTTTCAAACTCCATAAAAAAGCACAGGTAATCGATCTAGTTACGTTCAAAGTTAGATGGTGCAACTGAGGAACTCAGCAGCAGTCGAAAGGTAGAATTTACAGTAACAAATTATTATTATTAATTTATGCAACATATAGCAAGAAGAAAAAGATAAAAAGTTTGTTATAGCAGACAATTGTAAAGTCACAAATGTACAGTCGCAGAATGAAAAGGTTCGTCACCTTAGTGTCGGTTTTCGCTTGCACTAGGTACTGTAAGAGTCAAACCTGCCAACATAACCGTGCAAGAAACATTGCTGCTAACATTTAAATAAATATGACATTTGCTAACGAATAAGGTTTTGCTTGTTTATTNTGCACTGTGTAATAACATTTGCTAACCAATAATTTAAATAAGCGTGTCTTAAATGCTCGAATAGGAATAAATTCAAAAAGATATATCTTTCTTATGTCTTGAAGATTAACGTAGATACTAGTTTTATGAATTTTCTACAACAGTGCTGATCCTCATTTTAATCTTTTTGTCTAAAAACGGAAAGTCCGTCTAATCTGATTTCTTGATCAAACTTTGGCAGTCTCATTTTGACAGCTCCTAAAAATACGTCAATTGACTGTCATTAAGTGACTTTCACATTAGGTTTTTTATGGCAGACATGATAAGAACGTCATTATTTTATTGAATTATTTTCAAATTTTTTATCAGTTCTGTAATCAGTTGATAAAGCAATTAAAAAGATGTTATTATTAGCGGTCATGTCGGTTTGAAAGTACGAAAGAGCATTAATTCATTTCGGACATCACAGCAACATAGACGACAAAAATCATAGACTCATATCAGTCAAAACCCCTTTTGACTATTGCCCTTGGTCAATATCACTTACTGATTTTCGCAGTCAAAAGTGGTTTTGACCGATGTTATGAGTTTTGACTGTAACAGATACACTTAACCGCTTGAGTCCCAGACGGCATTAATTAATGTCATAACAATTGATTATCTATTGTGTCTAGATTCGCGGGCCTTGAAGAAATAAAATAGAAGAAAATTCCCTGTTTGCATGATTTCCAATGTGTATTTTACCGCGAATATTCCCCGCAGGTGCTGTGTCCCCAAAAGAAGATTCCGCCGCGTCTCCGGCCCGTGCCCGTGCCCGACCATCTGCTGCCTCCTCCCTCCAGCTGACCGACCGGCCACGACGCGACGCACGACGACCCGTGATCACAGGTGATGAGACAGACGAATGTGTCAGGAAATGGAAGGAAACTACTTTATTTGGTTAATACGAAGGTAAAACGCTGTTCAAAAAGCTGTAGCTACTCCGAATCAGGGATGTTATGGATATCCGTAACCCTAATCGAAATTTTTGGATATCCGAAATAAAAAAATATCCGAAACCGTAACTGTAACCGATTCAAAAGTTTCGGATAGTTTCGTATGTAGGCAGTTTCAATTGTTTTTTGTATAGCATTATTATGTAAAGGCATAACAACCTGATTTACCTTTATAATGCCATCTAGTATCAATTTTTAATTTTTATTACTTTTTATTCGATGTTAAGTGTGCGGCCATGAATGAACCGTGTTGGACAACTATTGCAAATTGCATTCTAAGGCACCGGTATAATATTATTCCTATATCCGTAACCGTATCCATAACCGAAATTACATATCCATAACATCCCTACTCCGAATTGATATTTACGTAGTTTCGAATCTGTCTCCGCCATCTCTCTTTACGTGAGAGTGGCAGAATTCGAAGCTTCGGATAACGTTTTATGGAGTAACGCAGTTAGTAATCAAATTAACTATTCATATTAATTTATTCGCTGTAAACCAACAAGAATAGGTACAACAAATTTGACAGTTGGCATTGTAAAATCGGCATTGTAGGTCGCGCAACGAAAGTTGAAGCGAGCACATACTCCGACTGATGTAATATTTGAATACAAAACGCACAGATCAATCGGAATACCCAAGACGTCAGCGCCACAAGTGGATATTTTTGTTGTAAGATAAAATTTTCGCGTTCCATTTAATTAAAATAGATAAACACGGGTCACATCTTTGCTTGTGATGATCGCCTCAACTCTTGCTGCGCGACCTATACAAATGGCAGTTGTAAAGTCACAAATGTACCTTTTTACAACATTGTAAAAAGTGGATTTTAAGCGGGATAATCCGTATGAAAAAAAAATAGAAACCACAGCATAAATGTCCAAAAATATCAATAATACCGTATATTTTATTAAGTTCGTTTCCGTTTTTATGCCACTCAAACATCTTTGCAAGTTAAATAAAATCTAGGAAACGTCTAAGAATATGGCTGTCTTCGAGTGATCGAATCGCAAGTTTTTGTACTATAATTTCTAGGCTATGGAGTAATGTTCACGCCATAGATTTCTGCTCACGGATCCGACCAACTGTGGGTCACTCGAATAAGTATTGGACGGGCAAAGATTGAACTGATCACTTACTAAATAGTTAAATATTAGTTCAGTGTTTCCTGTATGGATCTACCGTAAAGAAACTAAATGCCTAGACACACTATGTGACCAGATACTCAAGCGAAACACGCACTTGACCCAAACTAATGCGCAAGCCAAATTGTTTGCTATTCAAAACAGATAAGGCGCAAGTTGGTTTGCTCTAAAGATGAATTATGATCGAAAGGGGGGTGGGAAGCTAACACTTAATGTGACGAAATGAAATCAGGAAATGTATAATGCTCAGACGAAAATCCTTCTTATTATAAACCTCTTACAATATTTTTTGACATGAACAAGCCTTGAGAGAGTAAAAATGTATGGTTTCGGGGTTGTATTTGGAGCGGCACTTTATTTTACACAGCAAAATTGTTTTATTTCACAATTCAATATGAAAAAGTCTGCAATTTGAAGCAAATGTCCAAAAAAACATAATTTTGATAGTAACTAAGCGAACGTAAGATTTATAAGGATAGTGCACTGCAAAGTTTTCATAAGTACAAATTAGAATTAATTTTTAATTCATTCATATGCTTAAACGGTTACCAGCAATTTCTCTAAAATTNCTAAAATCATGTTATTTCTACAATGCATTAAGATAACTTTATTATAAGTTTAAAAACTGGATTATGGAAAAAATTGGTAGATCGCAAACGTGTTGAAAGAAAATTAAAAAAAAATAGTTTTCTCAAAAGATCATTTTGAAATTCATAAAATACTAATAAAAATACAAAAAATATTAATATTACAAAGAAAAAAAAATATTCACACTTAGGCCCCGACGAGATTCGAACTCGTGATCTCCTGTTTACTAGACAGGCGCTTTAACCAACTAAGCCACGGCGCCTTCGGTGGAGGCGGCGAAATTAGCGTACAATATTGTCGATGACTCTCGACTGATAAAAATAATCTCTTGAACACAATATTAATGCAGATATTAACATAATTTATTTAAATTGAAATCGTTATCAAGTAAATAGTGCAGATAAAATTATGCAGTCGTAATGCAAACCGGTACATTTAAGTTTAGGTACTTTTCTCGGGCAGTGTGGATCAGTTGAGAATTTGATGTTCAACAAGAGTGACGTTGCTGGAATCAATATTAACGTTGTTACGTCACATTTCAACTAAAATTACCTCGGTGTTACGTCATTGGTACATGAACAATTTAGTTTTATAAGAAAAATGATTCATTTTTACGCCGTATCAGTGATATTTTCATCGCTTATATTGAACATGATCATTTTGTTAGATTAGGTAAGATAAATTCATTCGTTGCAGTGATGGGTAAGAGAGACCTTTTCGAAATATTTGCCAAAATCAATATTTAAGACAGTACTGTAAAAGTCAAAGATTTGGATTTCAAATCTGCGGTGAATTTAATTTTATTGGAAATATTTTACAATTAATCATATGTATTAAGAACTTTTTAATTGGGATTTAGGTAGTTCAATGAAGTAAAAAAAATCATTGAATGACCCATTTTTGTAAAAAAAAATGCTTTTACTTTATGAATTGGTTGTTATGAGATTATGTTAAATATTCATCATGAATGTTTAGAAATCAGTTTATTGAATCCTGCAGCGAATGCTTTTATGTATTTTCGAAAACTTTATTCCTATTTTGTCGATATTCAACGCGTTTCTATACTTGCATTTTGTGAATGTTGATAGTTTTTTATTGATGTTGTGGATTTTTTTAAATTTATGACATGCAAAGGATCTTCTTGGGATTATAAGCCAAGAATTTCTGAATTATATTTGTGTATACTTATTTTTTAGTTTCTATTGCGCTGTCTTTATTGAAAGCAAAAATGCAATAATGTAAATAATTTGAAAGACATTTCAGCTACCTCGTATAATGCAATTGGAGTGTAATATTAAAAGATAACATTACTGTAATATTGTTATACTAACTCAAAATCGAATTGAAATAAGTAATGTTTGCCGCGAATAACTATGGTTAGATATCATCGTATAGGCGTTTTTTCATAGATTGGAAAAATAAATAAATAATTGACTTGTCACCACTCATCGTTTAGTAACAAAAAAACTAGTTTAGTTACATTGGAAGAACACACACAACACACAGTGGCGAAAAGATAAAAGAAAAAGAGTTATGAGCCTTTATGGATATTTAGATATTGCCAGCTAGTGGAAAAACGCCCTTATTTGTTAGGTATTTTGAGAAATTAATCAAATCAATAATTATGTTTTTTTAATGCTGTTAATATTTAAAGGAGTGGTTATAACCAAGTCAATATTTCCTACAATATTATATGGCCAGGTGTTTCATTGTACGTATCAAGGCATTTAACTTCGAGTTCAGAACAAAACGTTGTAATTAATCATACGTTAATTATTTATTACTATTCTACGTGTATTTTGAAACTTTTTGATATTATTTAAATAGGATACGATAATGGTGTATGTATGTAGATAGGGGGCAATTTAATACATGAGATAGGTTACAAATGTGTTTATTTTAGTAATTTTTTAAGTGTAATTGATAACAGTGCAGCGTCATTGCCAAATGATTTCGTGACGTGTTCACATTGTGACAGTAATTTATTGTATTGTCATTTTGAAACTAATATAGCTCTGATATGTAATATGCGCCTCAAGATAGGGTACATGACACGCTATTCTGAAACGAAAATAATATGCCATGACGTCACGACGTTTTGTGTTTCTTAAAACTGACGTAAAATCTTTTTTTTATGAGGACTGGTGTCAGACTTGGCGTGTCACCATAGCTAGATGTAGTTCCTGCGTGTTTGTGCCCAAATTGGAATCAAACTCGAATTCATGTCCTTTTGCTAGGACATAGGTGGTGTCATGTACCCTATTACTGTTAATGAAATGACTGTGAGGTTTCTAAAAGCGTATGGGATTACTGTTCGTGGTTGTAAATGTATGTCTTGTTGCGATTTCAATGGCTTTCCTAAGGTTTAGACAGTTCGTAGTCGGCGGTACGTGACGAATTTATTTTTGTATGTAACAGTATGAAAAGCTTTGCTTCAGTTCTTGTCAGGTAACGTAGGGCGTAGATTATAATTTCGATAATGTATAAACAAAGTTGTGAAATGGAGAATAAGGATACAACCGAGCAATAATACGAAAACGAATTGTATGTTGACTTTGTCTGTGGCGTCGATTGTCTATGGTTACTCAATGGACGGCGGCGCGTCAAGCTGGACAGCACCTTATTGTTGTTGAAATAAGTGTGATTTTGCAGCAAGTGTATAGTTTGACGTGCCGGCGACTGAATGCAAATGATGTTTTTGTGTACTTGATAATTATTAATGAGTGATCGCACAAATTGTCCTGTAAAATGTCAGAGCCATTTGTACATTGCCAGTATGAAACATACTTCCATATTGTATTAGTGTGTAAGTATTAATGCATTTTGATGTGTACCTTTATATTGTATTTTAACATTTGGAAAAAGCCTAAAAATAACGTTTTAGCGGTGTATTGAGTCATCTTGTAAGATATGTTTTAACCAAAGGGGTTGATTCTGAATTTTCCGAAACATTTCTTAAGTATTGCTGTCACGTTCGTGTTGTATTTCGTCTAAGAAGGACAGTGGAATATCGTTTTGTCTCATATTTTATAATTTAATGCCTTAAAATCCTAGTCCATAATATTGATTTACATATTAATCAAAGCTCTACTTTTTCAAATTGAGAATGCGTGCTGTAATTATTTTTTTATACTTTTAGAAAGGCAAAATTTTTCCTGCCAGACGAATATGTGTAAGGTGCAATGAAATTAGAACAAAAATTCAGAATCAACCCATTGTTTTTGTTACTGGCACAAAATTAGTGACATAAGCCCGCTCGCCCGCGTCCATTCCAAACCGTAAACTGCATGTCTATTAAAAATCTGCAACAGATTGTCCTATTTTTTATAAGAACAATAAAATTAACAAATGTAAAGAAATTGAGTTAGTAAGCGAGCGATCGGGGCGCTTTAGGACTCTTTGAAACTAGATGTTTTGAGCACATTAAAATTTGTAAGACCGCTAAAGGCGCGCGCGCACGTGTGACTGTTTTGTCGCCATGGTAATATTATCCGTGATAGTATATCTGTTTCTTTTACACCTTTATAAAGAGAAAAAGAGACGTACTGTCACGGTGACAAAAGACGTCCGTGCGCGCGCGCCCTGTTGTTTTAATTGTAATTTTTATTCCAACGCAATGTCATGAAATTTTCCGTATGCGGCTCAAAACGTCTTCTTTCAAAGAGCCCTTAGGACGTGTTTTTGTAAACTGACGACCGGTGAGATGATTTGGTAGTTAATTCAAGTCTGTACAGCAACAACCGATCAACATACCACAATAGATTTTGAACTGTATGCCAGTAGGTATAAAGTTAAAAATTCATTGAGGATGATTTTGATGCGCTGGCGACTGTATCTCAGCTGTTTTTATTTCGATGTTTTTTAATAAATGTTATAATGTCTTTTTTACAAGTATTTTTATACAATTTACTGTCATCAGCGTTTTGAATGTCGATTTTGTAACGATTTTGATAAATCTGACACTATAATCTTGACAGTTGAAATTCACGCTGTCTTTGTCTGCCTTTTGTAGTGTGAAAGAGACAACGATAGATCAGCTTTGCAATCGTCTCGCCGTCGTCTTAGATGTGTCATTAACATACACACACATTTATAGCTCATAAAATATGTCTAGCGTTCGGATACGCGAAGTGAAATGTAAGTTATTAAATCTGCTGCGTGTATCCGAACGTGGCTCTCAAATAGACACACGTTGCATGGTTTTGTGTTGCCAGACAAAAAAGTAAATTTTCTTTTTTTTTTACATGTAACTTACTATTTGATATTAAGTCTGGCAACACCGTGTAAATTCAAGTGACGTAACATGCTCAAAGTGTCAAGAGTTCACGCACACAGTCCGTTCCGCATAATGTCTGACGCACATAATTTGTCCATTGCATTGACCACAGTTTTAAGGATCTTTAAAAAGCAATCATTTAAGCTGATCAATTTCTGTTTTAGAGATGTTTAAAGCCAATATTTATACTGACTTAAATCATTTTTATATTTGATTCTTGCTAAATATTGGTTTATGGTTTCCCAAAGCCAATTTTTAAAAGACTGGTTTATTTGAAACGCTTGCTAAGAACTTCTCAAAGGTTGTAACATTATATCTCAAACTTTCATGACAAAGAAGAATTAATGTTATGTTGGCCAATGCAACAGACACACCGATATACATTTGAAGAGTTTACATGTCACCGAATTTTGTAAGAATTTATAATAATATAATAATGATCATACCTGTATCATACTCATTGATGCATTTTCGACTATGTTGATATTGATATCGTGTGAGGTACGCCGTACCCGTCTAGCTTCATAGTAAATTGTAACTTAGCTTTCTTGATACTGTTAGTCGTTATTGCAGTATTTTGGTGCAAATATTATTATTTAATAAGCGTATTCATAAATAAATTGACTCCGATATAGACTTGTTGGTTTCATTTCAACCTTGATTCCTGATTTTTAAATAAACTGTTACATATTTACTTTCCAGTATATGATAAGACTAGGTTTAATTGGGACGTGTAGTGACTACATACTCCATAGATACAGTAGAACTTGTGGTATACATTTTCTATACCATAAGATATGAAAAAAATAATTAATTGATAATAGATTTTATTCATATTTACAAAACACATAAAACAATAATTGAAACAAATAAAGCTTTAACAATATTTAATCTCAAAATATAAATAACATCAGTCGAACACAAACTAACCTACGAACTAGAGATTTGAACTACACAAAAAATGCACCACTGGAAGTCTTACCACGATAAAACGGGATAGTTACTGTATTTCTGAAATGATTTGACCCTTATTTACACGTGACTAAATACTATTTTATTAGAGCTGGCACGAAACGAGCCAAAGAAAAGAAAAGCAAGGAAATTGAAATATTAAAACCAACTCTCTGCCTACATGAGCGCTGTACACGAGCCGGTGTTCTCTTTTGTAATATTTGTTAATATTAAGGTTGCATTATTAAATAATCGCTGATAAATGTGATTAATTTATCACTTTTACCTCGCCTGTCGGTAATTATTCATAATAACCGGCGATTATTCAAAATTTATCACATTAACCGTAACATCTATTTAATGTATGGTAAGTATAATAATATTATGTATAAGAACATAAAGGAACAGTATTATAAAACAACAAATTATAATAGTAGAACAAAAAACTTCCTTAAAATTAATGAAAGCACTAAAGGGTAGTGAAATATTCAGAAGTGGAGGTATTTAAATATATTGCACTAATAAGCTTTAAAATATTGAGTGATTTATAAAGTACATAATAATGGCAACCGTTAACAAAAAAAACTACTTCCAAAGACTTCCACATACAGATGACAGCACATCATACAAGACATTTTGGTTACAAAATCGCCCCTATTACCAAAAAAATAGGATTTGATAGTGTTTAGTATAACATGCCGTCGCTGTAGTATTGTATGCTGACAGACTGCTGAGTTGTTATATTACAAAACATATAACAAATAATTTTAATTACATAATTTACCAGTTAGATTCATAAAATAATTGCTATACAGAAGTAAGTAGAAGACTATTCGGCAATCTCAAAAAGTTTAAAAATAGTTTTTTCCAGGCATTATGATTCAGAATATTGTGGGAACTACATTATTGCCTGTTTAAGTCATTCCACCCAAACAAATTGACACATTACAAGTCCTACGCTTTCGCCTTTTTCTTCTGCACATTATTCTTATCCACATAAACTCTCTGAAACAGCACAAACTTGCCATTCTGTATGTACTTCGTTTCGTATATCGCGTCCTCTATGCTCCAAGATGGCCGCTCGCAGTGTTGCCAGTTTCTGAAATCCTTCGGAATTTGTAGTTTATCGAGTAATTTCTGGGACATATCAGGTATTATCGGTTGGAGTATTATTCCGCATATTCGTAGCGTTTCCATGGTGATGTGTAGGATGACGTCAAGGTGTTTCTGGTTTTCCACTTGTTTTCTGAGTTCCCAAGGTTTGTGCGTCTCGAAGAAGAGATTGGCGAGGTGTAGCGTGTGTATGACCGCGTCTACGGCTTTGTAGAACTGGTAGTTTGAGTAGTGCTCGTGGCAGATTTCTGCAAGAAGGATAGGAAGAAGATTTCTGAAGGATATGCAAATACTTGAGCATAGCTCGTGAACATTTATTATATGTTTTATGTTATGTTCATACAAATTAAAACAATTAATAGTAGATCCAAATCTACTGAAAAAAAAAACTTTTATCATACCACATTACCGGCGTATTACATTGGATAACGTTAACCAGAGAAAAAAATGGCAGTAAAGATGACCTACACTGAACTGTCCCACCAAACTCATTGACAGGGGGGCGCCACCATCGTTCAACTGTATGGTTTCCACCGTGGAAAAAATCAGAACCAGCGATTCGGTATTGTCGGTGGCGCCACCCTGTCAATGTCATGGGTGGAACAGTTCAGTGTATTGGGTGTATACGAACGCAGTTCGCCGGGACAGCTACGGGACTATTCCCACCTCTCGTTCCCACCGCTGCAGCTCCTGTGTAGATCTATATAGGTGATCCGTCTGCTCGTTTGCCTCCTATCACATAAAAAAAAAAAAAAAAAAAAAAAAATCTACAGCTTAACCGCCAATAAAACACAACCAGTGAAGGCCAAGTTTGTCCCGAGGTGACAGTTCAACTGTCCTTGGGCCCGCAACAAATTAATCACAAGTAAAAAATGTAAAGAAATCTATTTCCACAACATACCAGGCAGTCTCTCCACTCGGTCCAGCAAATTCGCGCGAGAGCACGTTACAGTTTTGTTACGTGACATATCACCTATCCTGCACCAGCTAAGAACCTAATCAAGTTCCACTCACACAGTCTCTCAACTCGACCCAAGAGATTCGCGGTGACGTCACTCTCGCACCACCTAGGAACCTACTCAGTCATGCTTGCACGTGTAATGGAGGGAACTCTTGTCGCGGGTTGAGGGACGTCCCGCAGCAACGGGACGCCAGGTTGCCGAGTGTTTGTGTTTTTGTTACTTCAAATGCTGAAAGACCTCAAGAGTCCTCAAGACTCAAGATAATAATTGAACCTACTAAATAAGACTGTCCGTCCACTGAAGCAGAGTTGCGACCTGCGTCCGTCTTCCCTTCTCCGCTTTTCGGTTTTGAGTGATTTTAATAACTAGGTACTTCACTTTTCACTGAAGCTGAGCGGGGATTTTATGTAATTCTATTGATGGATTTTTACCTCCATCACCGCTCCGCAACATTGCTCCGCTCTAGTGGATAGGCAGCCTTATGTGCTACGCGTTTTAATCACCTAGAACCTACTGAGTTTGTTCCGACGTTTCTTCTCAGCACTTGCCATATGTTTGTCTCGAAGCGCTGGTAGGGCCCAAAAGATAAGGAGACATGTAAAGTGCCCCATAAGGGCTACCTTTTCTTTTTTTATATTTGACGTTCATAAGTGCCACTTGTGGTCTAAACTGAATAAATGATTTTGATTTTGAGTAGCCTCTCCGTTCGACGAACCAGCAAATTGGCTCGAGAGAGCCATGACAGCTCTGTTACGTAACGTCACCTTTAATGCATCACCTAAGAACATAGTCAAGTTGTTCGCTACATCAGCTCCACTCACATAGTCTCTCTACTCGGCTCACGAGATTCGCGGTGACGTCACTCTCGCACCATCTAGACCTATCTACATTAGTTCCACTCACCAGGCAGCCTTTCAACTCTATCCAGCAAATTCGCTGTGACGTCAACCTGCCGACACGTTGCAAGCTCGTGGACGTGTAATGGAGGGAACTCTTGTCGCGGGTTGAGGGACGCGCCGCAACAAAGGGACGCCAGGTTGCCTAGCGTTTATCTTTTTGTTACTTCAAATGCTGCAATAGTCCTCAAGACTCAAGATAATAATCGAACCTACTAAATAAGACTGTCCGTCCACTGAAGCAGAGTTGCAACCTGCGTCCGTCTTCCCTTCTCCGCTTTTCGGTTTTGTGTGATTTTAATAACTACTTCACTTTTCACTGAAGCGAAGCGGGGATTTTATTCTATTGGTGGATTTTTACCTCACTCACTGCTCCGCAACTTTGCTCCACTCTCATGGATAAGCAGCTTTATGTGTTACGATTTCACTTGGCTACCTAAGTAAACTCCGACAAACTTTACTTCGACACTACACTACTTAGACAAAGGCGAATATCCTTTGTCGGAGTAGTGTAGTGTCGAAGTAAAGTCATGTCGATATTCAGAAATGTCTGAGTAACGTAATGTCGAAGTAACGTTTGTCGGAGTTCAGTTTTTGAGCCATTTCACTTACCTGGTAGTCTCTCCATTACATCCAGCAAATTGGCGCGAAAGAACTTTTACAAACCACCTAGGGGGAACCTTTTCAAGTTATGTGCTACATCAGTTCCACTCACCAGGCAGCCTTTCAACTCTATCCAGCAAATTCGCGGTGACGTCAACTTGCCGACACGTTGCGAGCTCGTGGACGTGTAATGGAGGGAATTCCTGTCGCGGGTTGAGGGACGCGCCGCAACAACGGGACGCCAGGTTGCCTAATGTATCGGCTAGCTCGGAGTTGGCCACGTTTATTAGCTTGGTCTCGCTGTAATCTGGAAAGAGAATGCAATGTTAACGTTGTTATTATTGCGACAGACTTAGGTAAGATAAGCAGTAGCTAGCTAGCTAGCTAAAACATCGAGTAAAATACCTGTCCTTACTGAGAATCGAACCCAAGACCTCTGGGTCTGAGTCAGGTGGTCTTTCCACTAAACCATTGAGGCGGTTTGACACACCACGTCTTATAATAAATAGAAAATTTTAACACCAGATGGCGGCACGGCCATTTTATTTTTAGCTGTCATTCATCAATAATTGTTAGCTGGAAGAGAATGCCACATGGCATTAAGCTCACCTCTTGTACTGCTATTTATTATGTGTGATTAAAGAAGTTTTAAATAAATAAATAATTGGCAACACTAACATTGACTGTCAAAATTTGAGGCCGCCATCTTGGAGAAAAAAAGTTGATTTGTCAAAAAAGGCCGCCAACTTCTTTCCTGGAAAACCCAGAGACTACGGACAAATATGAAATGTCCACTCACTAGCATCTCCAGCCATAGTAGTCCCTCAACAGCAAATATCTCAACGCAGAGGGATTCACAGGGGTCCTCCTTGGATCCACCACATTGCCTAGAGACTTGGACATCTTGCTTCCGTCTACCGTCCAGTGAAAATTACACACTATATTAAGAAATATTAAATTATCACTCACTAGCGTCACCAGACATAGTAGCTTCCCTCAACAGTAGATATCTCAACGCAGAGGGATTCACAGGGGTCCTCATTGGATCCACCACATTGCCTAGAGACTTGGACATCTTGCTTCCGTCTACCGTCCAGTGCGAGTGGCATATTATAATAGTAAATACTAAATTATCACTCACTAGCATCACCAGCCATAGTAGCTTCTCTCAACAGCAAATATCTCAACGCAGAGGGATTCACAGGGGTCCTCCTTGGATCCACCACATTGCCTAAAGACTTGGACATCTTGCTTCCGTCTACCGTCCAGTGGAAATGACATATTATAATAGTAAATACTAAATTATTACTCACTAGCATCACCAGACATAGTAGCTTCCCTCAACAGTAGATATCTCAACGCAGAGGGATTCACAGGGGTCCTCCTTGGGTCCACCACATTGCCTAGAGACTTGGACATCTTGCTTCCGTCTACCGTCCAGTGAAAATGACACACTAAGAGTTATAATATAGAAAATCTCAAATATTTACTTACTAGCATCACCAGCCATAGTAGCTTCCCTCAACAGCAAATATCTCAACGCAGAGGGATTCACAGGGGTCCTCCTTGGATCCACCACATTGCCTAGAGACTTGGACATCTTGCTTCCGTCTACCGTCCAGTGTGAATGGCAGACGAGGCGGCGCGGCGGCGGCCAGCTGGTGGCCATTAGGAAGGCCGGCCAGTAAATGCCGTGGAACCTGGGAAGGTAAGGTTTCATCATCATCATCATCATCATTTCAGCCACACACAGGACGTCCACTGCTGAACATAGGCCTCCCCCAATGACTTCCACATCACACGGTTGGTAGCGCCTGCATCCAGCGCCTTTCTGCTACCTTTATCAGGTCGTCGGTCCACCTTGTGGGTACGTCCCACGCTGCGTTTTCCGGTAAGGTTTAGATTAGAATAAAAGAGCAGATATACAACATGTACTCAATGTATGTGCTATACAGGGTGGAAACGATAAGTGATTTTACTCTATTATTTCTAAACTATACAAGATATCAAAAAACTAGTAACTGATCCTGAAAGTGCTCCCCAAGTTCTTTCAAACAGTACCAATAATAGGTTATAAAATAAACAGGATCTGTCTGAAAATTTTTAAGGGCTATGCTCATGTTTCTTTACGCGCTCGAATCAGAAATGAGGAGTTCCGTAAACGAACTAAAGTCATCTGCTGATATCTTTTTTCTAGTCTAGTCCAGAGTGGTCGTAGCCATCATTGGGAGTTACGACGACGTACTGCAGCTTTAATCGAGTACTTAGTTGGGACCTTGACAGAGCCCGACGGATTAGCAAGCTGAAGTGGCAATGTGAAGGGCTCACAGTACGCAGAACTGACGGCCGATGGGGCAGCAAGGTTCTGGAGTGGAGGCCGCGTACCACTTACAAGATGAACCGATAACCTTATGGTAGGTTCTGGAGTGGAGGCCGCGTACCACTTACAAGATGAACCGATAACCTTATGGTAGCAGGAAGGCGTTGGATACAGGCCGCTACGCTACCTATCAATTTGAAAACCATAAGGGGAGGCCTATGTTCAACAGTGGGCGTCCTGTGGCTGAAATGATGATGATGAGAAGTCTTATTATAGTACTACTAGCGTGGGGAGCCAATTTCTCAATTTACCTCTGGTAAGGACATCATCCATTTTGGTCCAAAATCAAAAGTGCCGGCCAAAAAATAAAAGTGCTGTATTCTGATAGAATACGTCCGCCTTAGCATTTATTACTATGGCACCAAAGCTGTAGCACCACTGTGCATCGTAGTATTTGAGTTCTAAAAATATATGAAACGACTGACTTTGATCTCAAATACTACGACGCACAGTGGTGCTACAGCTTTGGTGTCATAGTAACAAATGCTAAGGCGGACGTATTCTGTCAGAATACAGCACTTTTTTGTTATTGGCCGACACTTTTGATTTTGAACAAAAAATGTATGAATCGTCGATGAATTTTAGATCTCAAATACTCGACGCACAGTGGTGCTACAGCTTTGGTGCCATAGTAACAAATGCTAAGGCGGACGTATTCTGTCAGAAGACAGCACTTTTTTTTATTGGCCGACACTTTTGATTTTGAACAAAAAATGTATGAATCGTCGATGAATTTTAGATCTCAAATACTCGACGCACAGTGGAGCTACGGCTTTGGTGCCATAGTAACAAATGATAAGGCGGACGTATTCTGTCAGAATACAGCACTTTTTTTTGTTGGCCGGCACTTTTGATTTTGGACCAAAAATATATGAAACGTGGAAGAGGGTCATGCGCCTACAGTGTAGAAATGACCTAATAATAATTAGTTTTATTAATAAACCATACTTACTTGAGTATATCCTTCCCTACTACGTGCACGTCAGCGGGCCAGGGCCGGCCGCGCCGGATCATAGCGTCTTCATCAGGATACCCGATAGCAGTTAGGTAGTTGATGAGAGCGTCAAGCCACACGTATATACTTTGCTCCTCGTCGTTTGGCACCTAGGAATAATCATCGTTTCACACTATGTAATGATGGAGTTTAACTTTCCCCCGGGACATCATCGTTTTACACTATGGAATGATGGAGTTTAACTTTCCCTCGGGACCAACTTGACCTTCACTGGTTGGGTTGTTGGCGGTCAAGCTGTAGATCCTGGCTACACAGGAGTTGCAGCGGTGGGAACGAGAGGTGGGAATAGTCCCGTTTATGGAAATCTACTCTCCCCATGCCCTATCTAGGGGACATAGGATTAAGTCAATGGAAATCTACTGCTGGCTATTGCTTTCCATAATTTCTCATTAATTTTTAAAGAGCAGATGGACGTCTTTTATTGCTACGTTTGAGATGGATGATGGATATGGAACAAATCCATTAATTTTATTTCTATCGAATGACCTCATTTCGGGTCTTTTAGATATGTCCAGCACATTATAATTATTATGAATCAATAAGAAAAATGTCTCATATTTAAAACTTGAATAAAAATAAATAAGATTCGTCCATCTCATTCAAAAGGAACTTAGTTTTGTATAAACTTAATCATTGTTTTTTTGTGAAAAAAACATTAATTAAAGTCGCTATGTTGACATGTTTATTGCTGTTTCCTATATGATAGTAGAATGTCCTCGTGTTAAATTAAGTTAAAACGTAAGGTTTTTAAATAGATTCCGTACCCGTATCGCCCAGTGCACCCTGGAAGACGGCCGACTGACAGATATGTCGGGGAAGTACACCTCATTCTCCAGTAACTCCTGCAACTGTTTCTGGAACTTGCTGGGAGTTATCACGCCGTCTGCGAATAAGTAGTTTTTTTTTATTCATAACGAGGAAGCTCTTGGCCTGTATCTCACCTGATGGTAAGTGACGATCAGGCCGAAGGTGGAAGCGAGCTTCACCCGGAATCCTCAACCACGGAGGAACTGCCTCTAACTGCCGGAACACAACAATGCTGTTAACATTGTTGTTATGGCGACAGACTTAGGTAAGATGGTGGTAGCTAGCCAGGCGGACTTAGAACAAGCCCTACCAGCAACCTTGATAGTGGTAGGTTATTGCACATAATTAATATCGGAATACAGTATTTGACCACAATCGCACCTGATGTTAAGTGGATTCAGTCTAGGATGGTACATATCTGCCCTGTAAGTGCCTAATCACTTTCGTCTTGAAAAGGCCCGGATTATAGTCTTCGGGAAAGACAGCAGCAGGCTACCAATTCCAAAATATATTATTTGACGCTAACTGTACAAAAGGCAAACTAATGTCATAGGCATTAAGGCATCATCTTCTAACCGTGTTATTCCGATAGAGTGGAATAGGTTCCGTCCACATTTCTATAGGTGTCGAAAAGGTGGCTAAGGAAGAAATATGTAAAATAAACATCAGGCCTCCCCAAACCACGAACTATTTGACGCCGACTTTACAGTTTACAGTCTTTATAAATACAGTGTAAACTCTACCTTACTCTCTACGTATCGTACCTATTATCTGTTGTAAAACAACTTTGGCCAGTAAAAGAAAAGCGTTAGATATGTGTTGACGAAAATGTTTGTGTGATACGTGCGATTGAAAAGGGAGAAAAGAAAGGTTGTTTTTCTTTCTTCACTCCATATAACAATAACTCTCTATAACGATAAAAAAAGATCGGTCCCTTGAGTTACATTATAAAGAGTTTACACTGTATTTATGTTACCTGTACTAAGCCACTCCTTCAGATGCGTTTTGAAGGCGCTGAGACGAAACATGTAGTTTGTCTCTTCTGTCCACTCGACTCTGTGGCCTGACTCCACTGACACTTTTACCTGAGGAAAAACAACTTTATTACAAACGGAAGTAAGTTCAAAATCAGTCGCATTTAATGCACGAAGACAAATACAGTAAATTTTGAGTGAATGGATGTATAATTTTTACCAGAAAAATTCAGTAGCATAGGTCAACTTATTGTAGATGTGTTGTTTATTCTGTATTGTGAAAACAATGTTTTATGTTCTCAGGTGACTTTCACATAACATAGTATTTCCTGTATTTGGTGTTGTTATATGTACACAAAATAGCATAATTTAACCTTGTTTTTAAAGGTCATCATCATCATCATCTCAGCCATAGGACGTCCACTGCTGAACATAAGCCTCCCTCAACGATTTCCAGCCTGCGTCCAGAGCCTTCCTGCTACCATTACGATGTCGTCGGTCCACCTTGTGGGTGGACGTCCCACGCTGCGTTTTCCGGTATGCGGTAAAAGGTCAACTTTTAATTTACAATATGCAAGATTCCAGTACTAAACACGGGCGAATATGGAAACTTTTTCCCGATTTCCACCAGTACAGTTATGGTTTGAGTTAAGGACCTTCTAAAATGATCGTCCAGATACCCTACATTTTATTGCCAGTAAAACTTTAAGCGGTTAGAAAACACGGAAAAATAGATAAAGGCTGGTCCGTGAGCACGTAGAATTTTGTCCAATGACCCCAAGCTACCCATCCTTATCGCTCGCGCGTAACTATGTTGCTGTCGCGCTCGCACACTCACTGCGGGCGCCCGTCGCACAGTCGCAAGGATGGGTAGCTTGGGGTCATTGGACAAAATTCTACGTGCTCACGGACCAGGCTTTAGATGAAGGTGAAAAGAAGTTCACCAGATAGTTTATAATGATGATAAGCTTTATACCTTCTCTCCATTCACAATATCTTCCCTGGTGTGAGCCTCAGGCACGAAAGACTCGTCGTTGACGCTATACCAGCCCGAGTACTTCGCTTTGTATATGTAGTCCTTTTTCATTAGTTTGTTCTGAAATAATGTTAAGGTAGGTTATATTTTATACAGTAGTACTTCAAAGTAAACATTCTGGTACCTTGTATAGTTGAGATAAGAATGGCTTTACAATAGAAATGTATTATACTCTTAGATTAATAATGGCTTTATTAATCTAAGATTGTACTGAAATTAGTTTTTGCAGGACATGCTATAGGAACTTTTTCAGATTTTTTGTAATTGGCTGTAGAAGTTATTGTGTTAACATGCCAATTTAACACAATATCTTTGACAAAGACTAGTTTTGTTGTTATCCAGGGCCTACCAGTGGCTTTAAAACTTTAAAATGACCATGAAGAATTCATGGTCTCATAGTGAGCAGAGACCTTAGTGCCTTTGTTTAGTTTAATTAAAATAACAATTGTTGTTTTTGGATACACTTAACGTTTTATCTTCTTATTAGCATTTGCCCGCGGCTTCACCCGCGTGAAAATTACTTTGTTACAGATCGTCATAAATTATAGCCTATATGTTATTTTGGGTTATAAACAATAATAATACTGTAAAGTTTCAACAAAATCCGTTCAGTAGTTTTTGCGTGAAAGAGTAACAAACATCCTTCCAGACATCCAAACTTTCGCATTTATAATATTAGTAGGATTAATATTCATCATGGACAACAAGTAACTCACCCAAAAGTGCTTAACAGCAACCTTGTGTCTTTTCTCTGTAGTCCTGACATAATCTGTGAAGTCAACGTTGAACTCCTTGAACAGTGTTCGGTATTCGTCAGACGTCTTGGAGCAGTACTCTGGTAGGGGAAGTTTGGCTTTGGCAGCCGCTTGCTGGATCTTGGTTCCATGCTCATCAGTGCCTGGAAGAATGATCTTCAATTATTCTCAACATCAACTATAGCAGTGAACAGCGGACCACTGGTGGTCCCTGGAAGCATTCCAAGTGGTCCACGACGACATCGTAATAAACAAGTGACATGACGTGATGAGTCGAGTCAACACAACGCAAACGACGCACAGTGGGCGAGAAATCGACCTCCCCTTTCATAGGATTTTGAAAAAAAAGTGGTCCCTCACAAGACAAAGGTAAAATGGTCCCTCGTGACTTAAAGGTTAAGAACCACCAAACTATAGTAACACAACCATCTCTTTACTGGCAAATGGAGGATTTGGTCTATGGTGATGATACTACAATGCTCAATTTATGTGATGCTGCATCATTGTCAATTACCTGTATCTCATCTCAACAATGTTTGTTGTGACATCATTAAATTGTAAAGTTATTTATTCTGTTTCCAATTCTGCATAAGGAAAATGTCTAAGGGACTTTTATAATGATTTCATTGATGTAATAAGAAACTCATGCCCGTTTTCACCATCAATACCTAATTTTTAAGTGACCCCTATGGAAACAAAATTCCAGTTATTTTTTTACCATAGGGGTCACTTAAAAATTAGGGACCTATGGTGAAAACGGGCATTAGGCACCCAAATCCATAATATGATTGTTATTAATTAAATTAATTAATTAATTAACTGAGGCCAACATCCTGCAGTGGACATATTATTATTATAAGCTTACTCTGCAGTGGTAGAAATATGTAAATATCTGCAAATCAAATCAAAAATCAAAATTCGTTTATTTGTGGAACATAGCTAAATTACATATTACAGTGTTAAAAATTAAGTAGTCGGTATCACTATCTGCCTACCTTGAAATAAAATCAATGCCTACCACTTATAGCTTACCTGTGCTAAATATAATATTGCAGTCTGGGTTTGTGAGCTTCTCAAACCTCTGGATGGCGTCTGCTACGACTGCTGAGTAGAGGTGACCGAGATGTGGTGCTGGAAAGAAGAATAGAATAGAATACTGTTTATTTGGCACATTTTTTTAAATAATGGATTTAGTTAAAAAAATAAATTTAGTTTATTCAGACACAGATTTACAGAATAAATAATTTAGTTTATTCAGACACAGCTAAATAAACATAAATGACATTGAAATAAGAATGGAAAGTGTAGGTTAAATATTCTCTAAAAATACAAGTTTATATTACTATCTACTACTTGTAAATGGAAACTTCCATGTTTACTAACTAATAAATGTAATAGGAAGGTCTTATTTATTTATACCTAAGTAGTTTTAACGAGCAAGAGAAAATCAGATAAGGTTTATTGATTTGTAAACAAAGTTAATAGCTGAAAGGAAACATTATTTATTATGTCTAGAAACTCGAGTAACTTACCGGCATTCACGTAAAATATAGGGGTAGTCACATAAAAAGGTCTCTTTTGAACAGCAGACGAAAGTAACCGTATGTTTAGCCGCATTTTTGTAAACACAAAGTAGTTTTAAAATTTTAGGTTATGAGTTTATTTTTTTTGTAGATACGTTTTACCACGAAAAGGATGGATACTAATTAGAATTTAACTCGCATTCAAGAGTCTCGCATTTAAAGAAAAGTTAAGTAATTCACTTCAGTCTTTCGCAACGAAATTATAGTACGAAAGACGATCTTTTTTTATGCCTGCTGACTTTGACAGATAAAGAACCGTGCGTTTGACACTGATGACACCACCAACACCTACCATCTGACCATGAAGCTACAGATAAAAATGGAGGCCACACTCCGAATACCTACTTGAAGCACAAACTAAGTATCACTATCTCGCTCTCTGTGGGCAGACTCGCTCTTTCTAAATAAACAAAAAATATAAAATTGCTCAAATTCAATGAAACCAATGTAAAATCTTTATTTCTTGACATAGGTATCATTAAAAATGATAAGTGTAATTACTGGTAAAACGTTTTAGGAAGAAATTACTGTAAAAAATGTGAAAAATGTTTACAATGATCCAATGTCGGAAATCACGAAATAAACACTTACGCGTGGAATCTTATGTCACTTCCAGGACACCACGTACTACCGCAACCACGCACTACAAAATTTTGCACCAATTCTTGTGATAAAACAATGATTATTTCCTGTAAACAATCTCAAACGAAATTAACTGCTTAATAAACAAAATAGTAAACAACCGCCATGATGGGCCGGATTGGGCCGATGTTGCCACATGGTACCGATTACCCAGGAATTGGGATTGTAATTCCCTGATTCGCCAACACATTAAGCCTAAATGGCCGACAATTTTGTGATTTTTTATTTAACTAGGAAATCTTAGTTTCAAATATTAATTATTTATTTGTTTAACTTCTGATTTGGTTAGTGAATTGGCTATTTCGAAGAATTTACAAGGAGATTTAAATCAGAAGATAGCAATACTACAGTTCACACTAAAAAGAGAGGTAGGGCCGCAGAGAGCGAGATAGATATAAGTAGGTATTTGACTCAAGTTTTTGTTCCAACTCTGCCCTCCATTTTTATCTTTAGCTTCATGCATCTGACAGAGGAGGAGGAGATTCCGAGGTTGATCTTTGAGAGGAATCCTAATAGCCTAAAATGAATTTTAAAATAAATTGTAAATAAATAAAATTGTTTGGGTTGGATTGGTAAATCATGTATAGTTAAGATAACAATATCATTTACTATCTTTGCAAAGCAGATTTAAAAAAAAAAAAAAATTCAATGTATAATCCTGCAAAATTCAGAAGACTACGTTTTCTATTCGTTTTAAAGTTGTCAAAACCGTTTATAACATTGTCGTATAATAAATTAATCAATGAACGGGTGTCTGTTGTGATTTCATGTGTCATAAAAATTATTTATCAAAATAAAGTATTATTTATTAGAATAAGCAGTATAGGAGTGTAAATTAGTGATAATGTCTCAAGGAAAAGTTGTTTTGATGGCTTGCGGGAGTTTTAGCCCTCCGACATACATGCATTTACGAATGTTTGGTAAGTTTTTGCCGTCTCATTATTTTACGACTTTCTTAAATTATAGATCATTATTGTACAAGTTCAATCGATAAAACTGTAGTAACAATATTTATCTCTTCCGTGTATGATTTAATAAATGTTGCGTTAATGTTTTCATACGTTTTGCTAAATTGCGCAATATCAAGAATAAAAATCTTTTTTTACAGAAATTGCCCGGGATTACTTGCATTCTTCAGGTTTGGCGAGTGTCGTTGGGGGTATAGTGTCTCCAGTGCACGATGCGTACGGGAAAAAAGATCTAGTTGCAGCACAACACAGGTATAAAAGAATTTTGCACAAACATTGACATTGACCTTAAAATATCTGCATATCCTACTTTAGCTTAGTATTAGCCTTGGTATTTTAATATATCATGATCAAGGATGACCCACAAGATGGTCCGAAGACCTCATAAGGTAGCAGGAATGCACTGGATGCAGGCCACTACCAACGCCAATTTGGAAATAATTTGGGGACGCCTATGTTCAGCAGTGAATGTTCCGTAGCTGAAATGATGATGATCAAGGATGCATTATGCTTTACATGCCTTTGGGAAGTGAAGTCTTTGTGATGTGAAGTTTTATAGAATTTGGTTTAGCTGCTTTTTTAAAGAAGATAATGAGGTTGCTACTTTCATTTGCTGCTGGACTATTTAGTGAATGCAGCCAAAAATTAAGAATATATTTCATTTATTATCTAACAACATAGTAAAGTATCATTAATTAATTCATTTTGTGTGAAGGATTAACTTACAAAATCTATCCTTAGAAACGGTTACCATAGTAGTATTGGTACATGGGAGTGTTTCTATAATATTGTTAGTACAATAGGTAAACTTTAATGTTTATCATCACATAATGTAAATATTCATAGTCTTCACATCTTCACAAAGCATTGTATGTGTTTGCTTAGATGTTATTATCTGTTTGTGTCAATTAAATACAGGTAGGAAGCAAATAGTGATAGGTATTCAGTTAAATGTGGTTTCATTGCCAAACAAGTTTTCATTGATATGAGATTGCTGTTGGTACCTACTTATTTTATTCTTGTTTACATAAGTAGAGTTCTGGTGGGAATTAAATTTGTTTCAAGATAGCAAGCAGACACTCATATGACTGAAATGGCAGATTTTCATCATTAAAACACCATTAAATATCTTGCAAATTAGATATGCACTGCCTAATAGTCTGTATAAGGAGCACATCGGGTAACTACTGTCTCGACCTAGCCCAGGACAGGAGAACGTGGAGCGAGATGGAGGAGGCTTTTGCTCATATACAGGGTGCCACAATTAATAAATTAAAACCATTTTAACGAATAATATTCCACACGACATCACGACAGCACATCAGGCTACCCATTTTTGTTGCAAACTCGCCCCTATTACAACTGCTCAAGAACCCACAGTGGCTACGTTGACGTGCCGTCGTCTGTACCTGTAACTACGTACTGTGAAAAATAAAGCTTTTTTAGTTATTGATCTGATGCCACAGGATAGCCATGTTAAAGCTGGCTCTACGCTCGTCGTCCTGGATCAAGGTGTCGGAGTGGGAGACGCAGCAGGCCGGCTGGACTAGGACCAGGCTGTCCATGCAGTACCACCAGGTGAGATGTAGTAACTGTTGATGGTGGGGTCCCGTACGTAGTGGCGAAGGTCGATTTAGCGAAGTACGTTTTGGCGAAAAACATTCATGGTGGTACGTTGGAGCGAAAGGCTACTGAAGCGAAACACTCGCGGCCGAATAAGTACTTTTGATGACCTAGGTAAAAATGTACGAAATAACATGTATTTTCATGAAATTAAATGTCATTGATCAAAAATAAAATAAAAATTAAGCTCTCCTAGGTCAGCAAAAGTAGGTACTTTTTCGGCCGCGAGTGTTTCGCTTGAGTAGCCTTTCCCTCCAACGTATCACCATGAATGTTTTTCGCCAAAACGTATTTCGCTAAATCTACCTTCGCCTCTATGTACGGGACCCGTTGATGGTGTTATACAGTGTGACGATTTTCTTATTAGTTTTCTGGCACTGTACAAAACATAAATGAGCACCAAAGTCTCCCCCTTTCGGAAGCTAGTCTTTCTCTCTTCCACTGTCTTCTTCTCTTTTCCTCCCTTTTATCTCTTTCTCCCCTCTCTACTCTCACTCTATCAAATCTTATTTATATATCTCTCTTAATAGAGTTTAGTGAAAAACTCTACATTTGGTTTTTGATGCAGTTGCTACATGAGGGTACGCCTAAAAAGTATAATTTTTAGTAAAAAATACTTGCTGAAAAATGATCCTGAACTTTGCTCTGCTGAAAAAACACAAATGATAACGATTTATGATGACAAAACACATCTGCATGTGTCATTTTGATAAAATTGTTTGGACTTGTAAATATGTATTACTTAAATTAATTAACAATATCAAACTGTATCTTATTATCACTTGTTTTGTCAATTTCAATGCCATCCCAGAACGATAATGCGCAGCAGGGGGCGCCTTTATTAGAAAATGTTTAAGACTTGTTTATCACTCTTTCAATATTGTTTGTAAGCCAAAAACAAACTTTCATTCTTATAGCTTCAAAAATGACGGACTGAAGAAACTTTCAACTTCAACCCATTTTTATTCCTTTATGGGGTGAATTCATAAATCAGCTTCCTAGTTCCCAAGGTTTAGGAAATGCGCTGATGAGCTAGTAAGTCAGGTCTACGATGCGTGCCACAATAATATTATCATCGATTTCATTTAAAATCGATAAAATGCCTTGATAAACGACTTTATGGCCCTCATCCTAGGCTAGCAGCAGTTCTTTTTTTTATAAAGATTATTAGCAATTTGTATTGCCCAAATTAATATAATCCCATTAGCCCCTCGTGTTAAGCTAAATAAGCTTGTGTTACGAGTGGGCTCACCACAATAGTCGAGCGGCGGTGGGATTCGAACCCGCGTTCCTCGGATTTCGAGTCGACCACTCCGACCACTTCACCGTTCGGCTATCGTAGCTATCATACTATTTAGCAGGATTATCTTTTTATTTATTCATATTGCAGTGTTGTGTTTTCCTCCCAGGATACCCTCAACGGCTACATATCGTCGCTCTCATCTCTCGACCCGGATCCGCCATCTTGGCTGCCAGACGACGTGCTAAACGTCAACAGCATCGACGAGCCAGATAACTTGATGGACAAGCTACACAACGGGTTGACCAACCGGATCACGATCAAGCTGCTGTGTGGAGCGGACCTTTTGGAGTCGTTCGCTACGCCCGGGCTTTGGTCCGACGAGGATGTGAGTAGAACGGGACTATTCCCACCTCTCTTTCCCACCACTGCAACTCCTGTGTAGCCAGGATCTACAGCTTGACCGCCAATAAAAACCCAACCAGTGAAGGTCAAGTTTGTGTTTGTTGATGTGAGTAGAAGTAGAAGTTACTAATCTTGGTAAATTAGGGAAAATTGTGGGCTGGAAAAGGGGCAGACTTCTCACTCGGTGGACAGACGACCTGGCGAAGATAGCAGGAAGAACATGAATGCGGGCAGCGCAGGACCGGTTGTTGAAGAAATCCTTGGGGGAGGCTTTTGGATATAATCGTTAATTTATAGTTAACTGTCATATTTTTGTGCTATAACAACAATATTAATAAAATTTTCTAGTAAGAGCTGCCTCTCGATCTAAATAACTTGAAAAAATCTGGGGGAGGTGTGAGTGCGAGGAAGAGTCGCATTCCAGCGAGGTGCGTAGTTAACTTAACCGGGTTATACTGCTGGAACAACCTCTTTACCTAATTTATTTATTACTAGCGGTCGCCCGCGACTTCGTACGCGTGGATCCCATTTTACCCCCTTAGGGGTGGAGTTTCGTAAAATCCTTTCTTAGCGGATGCCTACGTCATAACATCTACCTACTACCTCTATGCCTTTCAGCCCGATCCGTCCAGTGGTTCGGGCTGTGCGTTGATAGATCACTATGTCAGTCAGTCAGTCACCTTTGAATATTTAGATTAAGATTATTTATTTATTCTATGTTGTCGGAATCACACGTCAGTGTGTATTCAAACTATTTGCTTGTGTGTCCCCAGCTGGAGACGATAGTGGGGCGGCATGGATTGGTGGTGGTGTCGCGCGCCGGCAGCGACCCCGGCCGCTTCATATACGAGTCCGACATGCTCTACAAACATAGGGTAAGTTTGTGTTTTTAATGAGGGCTATCGTATTTATACTTAACAGTTGGCACCACTGGCGATTGACAGGACCTTACTCTACAGTGGCGCCATCTTGATGAGTGCAAATGCGATAGTCCTCCTACCACTTTAGCGCTCACAAGTTGGTGCCACTGTCTTCGCCACTAGCAAGTGACAAGACCTTACTCAACAGTGGAGCCAACTGGTGAGCGCAAAAACGATAGCCCTCATTGTATTATGTTCTAGCTTTTGCCCGCGGCTTCACCCGCGTGAAATTTAGTTTACAATATAAACAATAATATTGTAAATTTTCATCAAAATCCGTTCAGTAGTTTTTGGTTAAAAGAGTATCAAACATCCAGACATCCATACAAACTTTTGCATTTATAATATTAGTAGGATAGTAGGCAGATGCTTAAGATCCCAAGGTGTTTAGTATGATGTGTTGTAAGTTGATTCCCATCTCCCCAGACAGTTGATATTATTTTGTTTGTAACATCATGTAATCAGCCCTTAAGTAAGTAAGGTACTCATCTCGTTTGCTTATAAGCTGTAGAGTATCTTTCATAGTTCAGTTTTCTTTGCAATTATTTGGATTGAAATCCACAAATTTTTGGCTAAAATAAGATCCCAGTGCTTTGTAAGCGGTTTCTGCCCCCTATTGGTTCTCATGTTTTAAAGTCATAATTTGTGTTTGCTTAATGGTTGTCCATTTAAGCACTATCCGAAAGTTTCTGGAGCTTTTAAAACGAAAAGGCTCATCAATCATCTAATTCCAATTACAGAACAACGTTACCCTAGTAACGAACTACATAGCCAACGAAGTCAGCTCGACGGTCATCCGCCGCCTGGTCCGCCGAGGGGAAAGCGCCAAGTACTTGACTGACGATGGTGTTCTTGGCTACGTACGTCGACACAGTCTTTATGGAGCCACACCGCATGACACGTGAGTCTAATAGTGTTGTAGCGAGCTCGGGACCGGTGGCCAAGTGCCAAGTTTCAGAACGACGACGGAGTTCTTGGCTACGTACGTCGCCACAGACTATATGGAGCCACGCCGCATGACACGTGAGTCAGACAGTGTTATAGGACACGTGGCCAAGTGCCAAGTATTTGACTGATGACGGAGTTCTTGGCTACGTACGTCGCCACAGCCTATATGGTGCCACACCGCATGACACGTGAGTAATAGTGTTGTAGCGAGCGCAGGAATTGTGGCCAAGTGCCAAGTCTCAATATCATTATCATCAGGTCATTTAGTCTTGCACGAGGATGACCCGAATGACACGTAAGTCCCTGACGTAGTGTTGTAACGAACCCAGGACTCGCGGCCAAGTGCCAAGTATTTGACTGATGACGGAGTATTAGACTACGTANCAAGGTATAGATAGATTTCGGTGATAAGAAGTTCTCCAGATACTTCATAATGATGATGAGCCTACCTTCTCTCCATTCACAATATCTTCCCTGGTGTGAGCCTCAGGCACGAAAGACTCGTCGTTGACGCTATACCAGCCCGAGTACTTCGCTTTGTATATGTAGTCCTTTCTCATTAGTTTGTTCTGAAATAATGTTAAGGTAGGTTATATTTTATACAGTAGTACTTCAAAGTAAACATTCTGGTACCTTGTATAGTTGAGATAAGAATGGCTTTACAATAGAAATGTATTGTACTGTTAGATTAATAAAGGCTTTGTTAATCTAAGATTGTACTGAAATTACTGTTTTTGCAGGACATGCAATATGAACTTTTTCAGATTTTTTGTGATTGGCTGTAGAAGATATTGTGTTAACATGCCAATTTAACACAATATCTTTGACAAAGACTAGTTTTGTTGTTATCCATGATCTCATAGTGAGTAGAGACCTTAGTGCCTTTGTTTAGTTTGATTAAAATAACAATTGGTATTTTTGGACACAATTAACGTTTTATCTTCTTACTAGCATGCATTGCCCGCGGCTTCACCCGCGTGAAAATTACTTTGTCACAGATCGTCATAAATTATAGCCTATACATATGTATGTATGTTATTCTGGGTAATAAACAATAATACTGTAAAGTTTCAACAAAATCCGTTCAGTAGTTTTTGCGTGAAAGAGTAACAAACATCCAGCCAGACATCCAAACTTTCGCATTTATAATATTAGTAGGATTGATATTCATCATGGACAACAAGTAACTCACCCAAAAGTGCTTAACAGCAACCTTGTGTCTTTTCTCTGTAGTCCTGACATAATCTGTGAAGTCAACGTTGAACTCCTTGAACAGTGTTCGGTATTCGTCAGATGTCTTGGAGCAGTACTCTGGTAGGGGAAGTTTGGCTTTGGCAGCTGCTTGCTGGATCTTGGTTCCATGCTCGTCAGTGCCTGGAAGGATTATTTTATTTAAGTTCTATTACGCTCAACAGCAGGTTATTATCAACTATAGTAACACTACCTTCTTCAATTTACTGGCAAATGGAGGATTTGACTATGGTGATGATGGTACTACAATGCTCAATCTATGTGATGCTGCACCATTGTCAATTTCCTTTATCTCATCTCAACAATGTTTGTTAGATTGTAAAGTTATTTATTCTGTTTGAGGAAATGTCAATATCCAATTCTGCATAAGGAAAATCTCTAAGGGATATTTATAATGATTTCATTGATGTGATAAGAAACTTAGGCACCCAAATCCATAATTAACTCAGGCCTACATCATGCAGTGGACATATTATTATTAAAAGCTTACTCTGCAGTGGTAGAAATATGTAAATATCTGCCTACCTGGAATAAAACCAATGTCTACTTTATCCTTACCTGTACTAAATATAATATTGCAGTCTGGGTTTGTGAGCTTCTCAAACCTCTGAATGGCGTCTGCTACGACTGCTGAGTAAAGGTGACCGAGATGTGGTGCTGGAAGTAAGAATAGATTATTTGACACATTTTTTTTAACTTCAATGAAAAAAAAAAGAAAAAACAACTGGGTCAGGGATGTTTAATAATGGATTTAGTTAGCAAAATAAATAATTTAGTTTATTCAGACATAGATCCATTCTTTATTTAAATAAATGATATTGAAATTAGAATGGAAAGAATGGTTAGTGTAGATTTCATATTCATAAAAATACCAGTTTATATTACTATCTACTACTTTAAAATGGAAATTTCCATGTTTATTAACTAAGAAATGTAATAGGAAGGTCTTGTTTATTTATACCTAAGAATAAGTATAGTACTAACGAGCGAGAGAAAATCAGATAAGGTTTATTGATTTGTAAACAAAGTTAATAGCTGAAAGGAAACATTATTTATTATGTCTAGAAACTCGAGTAACTTACCGGCATTCACGTAAAATATAGGGGTAGTCACATAAAAAGGTCTCTTTTGAACAGCAGACGAAAGTAACCGTATGTTTAGCCGCATTTTTGTAAACACAAAGTAGTTTAAAATTTTAGGTTATGAGTTAATTTTTTTTTAGATACGTTTTACCACGAAAAGGATTAATACTAATTAGAATTTAACTCGCATTCAAGAGTCTCGCATTTAAAGAAAAGTTAAGTAATTCACTTCAGTCTTTCGCAACGAAAATATAGTACGAAAGACGATCTTTTTTTTATGCCTGCTGACTTTGACAGATGAAGAACCGTGCGTTTGACACTGACTGATGACACCACCAACACCACAACCAACACCAACCATCTAACCATCTGACAGAGGAGGAGGACATTCCGAGGTTGATCTCTGAGAGGAATCCTAATAGCCTAAAATGAATTTTAAAATAAATTGTAAATAATTAAAATTGTTTGGGTTGGTTTGGTATTATAAATCATGTATAGTTATGATAACAATATCATTTACTATCTTTGCAAAGCAGATTAAAAAAAAAAACAAGATTTTCAATCTATAATCCTGCAAAATTCAGAAGACTACGTTCTCTATTCGTTTTAAAGTTGTCAAAACCGTTTATAACATTGTCGTATAATAAATTAATCAATGAACGGGTGTCTGTTGTGATTACATGTGTCATAAAAATTATTTATCAAAATAAAGTATTATTTATTAGAATAAGCAGTATAGGAGTGTAAATTAGTGATAATGTCTCAAGGAAAAGTTGTTTTGATGGCTTGCGGGAGTTTTAGCCCTCCGACATACATGCATTTACGAATGTTTGGTAAGTTTTTGCCGTCTCATTATTTTACGACTTTCTTAAATTATAGATCATTCTTGTACAAGTTCAATCGATAAAACTGTAGTAACAATATTTATCTCTTCCGTGTATGATTTAATAAATGTTGCGTTAATGTTTTCATACGTTTTGCTAAATTGCGCAATATCAAAAATAAAAATCTTTTTTTACAGAGATTGCTCGGGATTATTTGCATTCTTCAGGTTTGGCGAGTGTCGTTGGAGGTATAGTGTCTCCAGTGCACGATGCGTACGGGAAAAAAGATTTAGTTGCAGCACAACACAGGTATAAAAGAATTTTGCACAAACATTGACATTGACATTAAAATATTTTCTTAACCTACTTTAGCTTAGTGTTAGCCTTGGTATTTTGATATATAAATAAATAAATAAGGAAGCAGGCAGTAGCAGGAAGGCGCTGGATGCAGGCCGCTACCAACTGGGCAATCTGGAAATCATTGGAGAAGGCCTATGTTCAGCAGTGGACATTTTGTGGCTGAAATGATGATGATCAAGGATGCATTAAGCTTTAGATGCCTTTGGGAAGTGAAGTCTTTGTGATGTGAAGTTTGATAGAATTTGGTTTAGCTACTATTTTAGAGATGATGGTTGATGTTTGCTACTTTGATTTGCTGCTGGACTATTTATCAAATGCAGCCATAACTTAAGATTTACCTTATTTAACAACATTATAGTAAAGTATCATCAATTAATTAATCAATTCATTTCTGTCAAGGATTAACTCACAAAAACAATTCTCAGAAACTTATTAAAAGTTTCTATTATTAATAGTATTGGAACAACTGGGAGTACTTTATTGATAGTACAATAGGTAAACATGTAAAATTATGTAAATATACAGTCTTTACAGCATCATATGTAATTATAAACAGTACTAGATATTATGATCTGTTTGTGTTAATTAAATACAGACAGGAAGGTAAGTAAATAGTGGGTTAAATGTGGGTGGTTACCATTTGCATTGCACCTATGGATATTTATTATATCGCAAGGGTACATCAGTTAATAAAAGCAAATATTGTGTTACTAACATTTTTAACATACTGACTGAGAAAAGACTTATTTATTGATCTGATGCCGCAGGATAGCCATGTTAAAGCTGGCTCTACGCTCGTCGTCCTGGATCAAGGTGTCGGAGTGGGAGACGCAGCAGTCCGGCTGGACCAGGACCAGGCTGTCCATGCAGTACCACCAGGTGAGCTGTACAGTTGATTTTATACAGTACTATAGCGGCCGCTATAGTTAAACTTGGCGGCGCACTGTGGCAGACGAGGCGAAGAAGATCGGCAAGACTTGGAGCGAGATCAAACGCGAAGCTCAAGACCGAACGCGATGGAGGACTGTTGTGGACGCCCTCTGCCCCATCTAGGGGACATAGGACCATAAGTCAAGTCAAGTCAAGTCATAGCGGCCGCTTAACAACTCCCGTTTTACCCCCTTAGGGGTTGAATTTTAAAAAACTTTTCTTACGCATAACTTTTCTGGCACAATACAAAAAATTTGGGCACCAAAGTCATCCCCTTTGAAGGCTTATGTCTTTCTTTCACTCCTCTTCCCTTAAACTTATGGGTGAATTCGTAAATCAGCTTCCTAGTTCCAAAGGTTTAGGAAATGCGCTGATGAGCTAGTAATAAGTCAGGTCTAGACTCTAAGATGCGTGCCACAATAATATTATCATCGATTAAAATATTAAGACACGGGTCTTAACGCGACGTTTATTAATGAGTTACATTATGTACTCACGGCTTGACGTTTCGGCTACGATGCTAACGTCTCGTTAAGACCCGTGTCTTAATATTTTAATTGAAATGGAACGCGAAAGTTTAAAATCTTATATTACCATCGATTTTATTTAAAATCAATAAAATGCCACGATAAACGACTTTATGGCGCCCATCCTAGGCTAGCAGTAGCAGGATTATCTTTTCATCTATTGATATTGCAGTGTTGTGTTTTCCTCCCAGGATACCCTCAACGGCTACATATCATCGCTCTCATCTCTCGACCCAGACCCGCCATCTTGGCTGCCAGATGACGTGCTAAACGTCAACAGCATCGACGAGCCGGATAACCTGATGGACAAGCTACACAACGGGTTGACCAACCGGATCACGATCAAGCTGCTGTGTGGAGCGGACCTTTTGGAGTCGTTCGCTACGCCCGGGCTTTGGTCCGACGAAGATGTGAGTAGAAGTAAAAGTCCTTCTTACCTAAGTCTGTCGCCATAACAACAATGTTAACAGCATTGTTGTGTTCCGGCAGTTAGAGGTAAGATAGCCAGTTCCTCCGTGGTTGAGGATTCCGAGTGAAGCTCGCTTCCACCTTCGGCCTGATCATCACTTGCCATTAGGTGAGATACAGGCCAAGAGCTACCTCGTTGTGGATAAAAAAAAGTAATAAACTTGGTAAATTAGGGAAAATTGTCGGCTGGAAAATGGGCAGGATTCCCACGACAGACGATCTGGCGAAGATAGGGGAAAGAACCTGGATGCGAGCAGCGCAGGACGGGTCGTTATGGAAATCCTTGGGGGAGGCTTAATCGTTAATTTATAGTTAACCGTCATATTTTTGTGCTATAACACAACAATATTAATAACATTTTCTAGTAAGAGTTGCCTCTCGATCTAAATAACTTGAAAAAATCTGGGGGAGGTGTGCGGGGAAGAGTCGCATTCCAGCGAGGTGCGTAGTTAACTTAACCGGGTTATACTGCAGGAACAACCTCTTTACCTAATTTATTTATTACTAGCGGCCGCCCGCGACTTCGTACGCGTGGATCCCATTTTACCCCCTTAGGGGTGGAGTTTCGTAAAATCCTTTCTTAGCGGATGCCTACGTCATAACATCTACCTACTACCTCTATGCCTTTCAGCCCGATCCGTCCAGTGGTTTGGGCTGTGCGTTGATAGATCACTATGTCAGTCAGTCAGTCAGTCACCTTAGAATATTTAGATGATTATTTATTTATTCTATGTTGTCGGAATCACACGTCAGTGTGTATTCAATGTATTTGCTTGTGTGTCCCCAGCTGGAGACGATAGTGGGTCGGCATGGATTGGTGGTGGTGTCGCGCGCCGGCAGCGACCCCGGCCGGTTCATATACGAGTCCGACATGCTCTACAAACACAGGGTAAGTTATTATAAATTGTATTATGTATAAAGTACGGCCAACGAGAAGCGATACCAAATGTAAACAAACCCAATGTCATGGGTGAATCCGTCTGACTTTGACATATTTTGGCGGGAGAACGAGACATTACGACAAATACTCAAGATGGAAAGAGACAGAATATATTGTCAACTCGACAGTCGTATCGACCTTTTGTATCGCTGCTAGTTGGCCGTACTTTAGACGAAAAATCGCCCCTTTTACAACTGCAGAAGATCCCATAGTGTTTAGTATGATGTGTTGTATTCGGCAAATCTTGTGTTTCGGGGCCGATCCACGCAGCTGTCAGTTGATTCCCATCTCCCTAGACAGTTGATATTATTTTGTTTGTAACATCATGTAATCAGCCCTTACATACAGCTTATAAGCAAATGAGATGAGTACCTTTCGTAGTTCAGTCTTTTCTTTGCAATTATTTTGGCGAAGATAAAATCTCGCTGCTTTGTTCTATGGTTTCTGCCCCCAATTTTATTGGTTCCGTGTTTTGAAGTTTGTTTAAATGAATTCTTGATTTGTAGTTTGTTTAATGGTTGTTTGTCTATTTAACCCTTAACGAGGCCTAAAAAGCCATTGGTTTTCAACCGTATCTTCACAGCATAAAGTTCAAATTGATGTGGGCTCTGTGGATACCATAGCTTAGGGGTTAAGCAACATCCGAAAGTTTCTAGAGCTTATAGTGGTGACAAAGAGACTCACAGATCACATAATTCCAATTACAGAATAACGTTACCCTAGTGACGAACTACATAGCCAACGAAGTGAGCTCGACGGTCATCCGCCGTCTAGTCCGCCGCGGGGAAAGCGCCAAGTACTTGACCGACGACGGTGTTCTTGGCTACGTACGTCGACACAGTCTATATGGAGCCACACCGCATGACACGTGAGTAATAGTGTTGTAGCGAGCGCAGGAATGGTGGCCAAGTGCCAAGTATTTGACAGACGATGGTGTTCTTGGCTACGTACGTCGACACAGTCTTTATGGTGCCACACCGCATGACACGTGAGTAATAGTGTTGTAGCGAGCGCAGGAATTGTGGCCAAGTGCCAAGTCTCAATATCATTATCATCAGGTCATTTAGTCTTGCACGAGGATGACCCGAATGTCACGTAAGTCCCTGACGTAGTGTTGTAATGAGTCCAGGACTCGCGGCCAAGTGCCAAGTATTTCACTGACGACGGAGTATTAGACTACGTGNACTACGTACGTCGTCATAGCCTGTATGGAGTCACGCCGCATGATACGTGAGTCCCTTGCGTAGTGTTGTAGCGAGCCCGGGACCCACGGCCAAGTGCTTGACCGGTGACAGTTCGGGCCGCGGCCAAGTGCCAAGTCTCAACATCACTATAATTAAGTAATTTAGTCTCTACTGCACTACACGAGGAAACCATCGGTAATGTTATTATTTTGGTCATCAATATACTATACAGAATTTCCCAAACATTCCTTTAAGCATTGATAGTTAATTATTTCTTACTTCTGTACATAACTTAAGTATCTTATCCTACCATTAATAATACTATTTTCTATATAAGTAAATCATTAACTAACTATATAATTTACACAGTGACAATAACTAACCAAGATTATCTCCCACACGCTGCATGGATTCAGTGAGTACAACCTAATCAACGATCTACTCGCGAAATACGACAAGCGGTCGCCTCAAGACGTTCTAATGGCCTCCCCCGAAGAAACCAGCTTCAAAAACATCTTAATATCCATCCGTGATAAACCAACTATAGTCGACGAAACGATCACAGTCAAAAGGGCTCGGAAGACCAACTTCCTCATGCCCAACTCCCACACAGATTCAGTCAGCCCAGTATTAGATACTATAAAACCCAAAATGGCGTACATCGACAAAGTTCCCGCGAGCTATGTGCCAGGGAAAGCTGTCAAAATCGTCAGCGATGCTACACAACACGCTATCAAGGACGAAAAGGTAAGTTTAGAGCCAACTTATAGGTCTTTAGACAGCTATCTGTCAAAGGACGACGCTGATTTTGACATTTACAAACGTCGAGTCAGCGAAAGCAACGTGGAAAAAAATTTAAACATCGATAACGTTATCAAGAAGCGATGCTCATCAACAATAAGAAAACTGCGGCCAGAAGATATGAAAAAGAGTAAATCTGAAGTGAGTAAACTATGCGATAAGGTAAAGAGCATCAAACTTAAAGATAGAGACTCGGGTAGAAATTACAAAACTAGGAGTTGCAATGATATTGTAAGGTTGATTCTCACTAAACACGGCATTCATGTCATAAGTGATACTGAAGCTATTGTTTAGACGTAGCTGAGCATAGTAACTGATTTTTGTTGATGGACGAAGTTAATATTTAGAGTTACAGGTTAACTTTTAGACTTAGTTAACTTTAAACATTGTTAACTCTTGTTAATTTCTGTGTGCCAAAAGGACGAAAGACGACGACGAAATGTTTAACAATGTTTACTTTTTTATTATTAATGAATGAAGTTTTTATTTATTTAACAGTGTTCAGCCATATTTTATATTAAAGTACCTACTGAGTATTTTGAGTCTTGTCAAAGTAATAATTATCTCTCGTTTAATGTAGTATTTAATACTCTATCTAATATTAACAGTATTTAAAAAGAGACTTAAAAATTAATAAATAACAAAATAAAATATTTACTCACTTAAAATTCCTTTTCTAATATCTTGGTAAAATTACTCGAGGTGTCTTCAAATCAAACTGCCACAATTTTATATTAATTAAAAATAATATAAAAACATACAATTCATAACTTATATTGCTTTAAATAAAAAAATGGCGATTAACACATCGTTCCTATATTCGATAAAAACTAAGGAACAGTAATTATATTCGACATATTCGTAAACGAGAAACGTATGTATCGATGATACATAGTTCACTTTAATATGCTCATGTAACGTATACAATCATTTTTAGCCGTACATAATGTGTATTGGTATCAGTATTTGTCAATTAGATTACAATATCTAAGTGGAATTTATTAAACATACTACCTAATTGCATTAAAAAAATGGCCTGTTAACCATAAAAAGTTTAAAAAAAATGTTATAGTTAGCTTAGCTAATAATTGCTCTATCCTTATTCGTCAAATGTTGCTTTCACTAAGATAAAAAGAGACAAACAGTTTTTTTTTACTTTAAAACTGTGTTTGAAGATCTAAAACAAATAATAAGAAATGTAAATAACAATGCGAATTACTATGAATGTCAATAATTTAACCTTTCAATGTTTAACTAATTAATTATACTCATAGTATTTGTAATAAAAAAGAAAATCTAAAAAAAATAATTAAAATTCGTACAACCGAATAACCTAGCGTTAAAGTTTTGTATGTAATATGAAACATAAATGTAGCCAATTTAAAATTCCAAATATTTAACCAGTATTAGTGTATTCGGTTACAGTTGGTCGGTAAAAATATGGATCCCACCAAAAACATTCTGTAAAAAACTAGCCAAGTCTCGATGGAGCTGCTTGTTTATCTCTAAAAAGTAATGAAATCTAGACAAAGTCGTGCCAAGTCTATGGTTCCTTACTGCGATTTCTTTATTAATATAGTTAATGTTGTGTGACTTGGCCGTTGAAGGGTACAAAACCAGGTGCTCCATGACACCATTGCACCAATCTATCGCCAGAACCGCTACCCATTGACAATGGAAAATTTCCACTTNATAGTAAAGCCTTGATCACACGTACCGAGTAAACGGGCGAGACAGTAAAATGTTTACTCGGTCGAGACAGTTGGGTGAGCGAGTCACATACTCGAGCGCTCGGCCGAACACTCGGCGTAATCACAGAATAATAATAAGTACTACGTACAGAAGTTTTACTTCGCGAAGGTATTTAAAAAAATGTATGCTCAATGTCATTAACAATATGGTGTAATTTAGCCTGTCTCAAGAGTCAAGCACCATTTTGTTGACAAACGTCAGTGATCGGTACTGCGCCGAAGCTATAGGGCTGACTTCGGTAAAATGATGTGACGTGACGTGAGGTGCCAAACAGTGGAAAATGGCGGAGGAAATACATGATTTAGAATGAATTATCATGAATAATATTAACTACTTATTTACCTCTCAGTGTCTTGAGGCAACTTAAAAAAGTACATTCTGTGTTTTTATTATTTTTTAGGCAGTTAAATATTTACACAGTATTTAGTACACCATTTTCTTTATTTTCTTCCATCATACACAAGAATACGCGTGCGTGAGTCAATGTTCGCTCGTATGTGAGGCCTTGTCGAATAGTATCCTGTAGGTGGGCCATCGTGCGTGTTTTGTTTTCGATGTAAACTCGCGGAGATGAACAGGCCTGGCGTAATGTTCATACACACCGAGTACTCGGCCGAGAGCACTGTCTCGCCCGTTTGCTCGGTACGTGTGATCAAGGCATAACTGATTTTTGTTGATCGACGAAGTTAACATTTTGAGTTACGGATTAACTTTTAGACTAATGCCCTAATTTTTCACCATCAATCCCTAATTTTTAAGTAACCCCTATGAAAACAAAATTCCTGTTATGTGTTACCATACATAGGGGTTACTTAAAAATAAGGGATTGCTGGTGAAAACGAGCATTAGAACTTTAAACATTGTTAACTAATTTGTGTGCCAAAAGAACGAAAGGAAAGATATGTTGACGAAATGTTTAACAATGTTAACTTTTGTTATTATTAATGAATGAAGTTTTTATTTATGCTATGTTTTTATATTATAGTAGTGAGTATTTTAAGTTGAGTCTTGTCACAGTAACAATTATCTTTCTATCTATCTATATTGAAAGTATTTAAAAAGAGACTTAAAGATCATAGAGAATTACAAAATAAAATATTTACTCACTTAAAATTCCTTTTCTAATATCGTGGTAAAATTACTCGAGGTGTCTTCAAATCAAACTGCCACAATTTTACATTAATTAAAAATAATATACATAAATTCAGTTCATAAATTACATTGCTTGGAATAAAAAAAAATCGCGTTTACAATTAATATAACGTTCCCATATTCGATAAAAACTCGTTCAGCTTAAGAACAGTAAAGATTTTACAATTTAATTGAAATGTATCTAAAAGAAATAACGTCTATATGTGAAATAAAACTAGGGCTTAAAACAAGTTTGAAAATGAGAAGAAAAAATAAAGCAAAGGGCGTGAAATGTGACGTAACAAACGTTAAACTTTATATTATGCTCATGTAACGTATACAATCATTTTCACCAGTACATAATAATTATGTATTGGTGTCAGTATTGTCAATTAGATAACAATATATTAAAAAGTGGAATGTATTATTACATACTTACCTACCTGCAAAATAGCCTGTTATTTAATAAAGAAATAAAAAGTTTTAGCTAATAAATACTCTATCCTTTTTCATCAAATGTTGCTTTCACTAAGATGAACAAAGACAAAACGTGTTTTACTTAAAAGCTCTGAAAACTTTATGACTAATGTTAAATTATTTTAGTGTATAAACAAAAAAATAATGAATACGATGTAAATAGCAATGGAATTATGAATGTCAATAATTTAATCTTTCAATGTTTAATGACTAATTAATTATACTCATAGTATTTGTAATAAAAGAGAAAATCTAAAAAAAAATATAAATTAAAATTCGTACAACCGAATAACCTAGCATTAGAGTTTTGTATGTAATATGAAACATAAATATAGCCAATTTAAAGTTCCAAATATTTAACCAGTATTAGTGTATTCGGTTACAGTTGGTCAGTAAAAAAAAACATACGGGTCGAATTGAGAACCTCCTCCTTTTTTTGAAGTCGGTTGAAAATATGAGTGTTTGAGACCAGATTCTGCTACTGACAGTGTGGTGGTTGGAATGAAGGAATGAGAAGTAATAATGATGTAATCAAATAATAATTGTATGTGGGGAGATTTAGGTCATTACCGTAGGAAGGAGTCGTGTGTTTCGTTTGTGTCCCACTTGAGATTTGAACCAAGGACTTCCAAGTCCTGACAGAACCAATAGACAAGGTTTTCATATAAATTGTTATCTTGTTCTTTTCCTACAAGAAAAAATATATTTTTACTGGCCAACTAAAAAATTGTAAACCAAAGCTCAAAGTATTCTTCCTTGATAGTTTATAATTATTATTGTAATTATTATAGCATAGTTGGACCTGCAAGAGAGATGTTTTAGATGTATATACTATATTATTATATTATATCCTATATATCCCGACTTTATACACCCTCTGTGATAGTGTTTTCGAACCCTTTATAAAATGTTCTATGATTATTATTATTGTTGACGCTTGATTGCTTTAATTATTATATTTCCTAAATTTTCTATACAAATTGTATATTATTATAATCGATATAGCTTGCATTATAGCTTCTTAATATCGTTATGTACAAGTAATGTAATTTAAAAATCATATATTTATATTAGGCGATATATTTAAGTATGTACTTATTTTTATTATTCGCAAAAATAATTTATAATTGTTAAAAATGTAGCTACGTTAATAAATAATGATATTATAGAAGTGTGTTTATTATTACTGTTTATTATAGCATTGTTATTGATCCGTAGTGTTTTGTAGTTTTAATAATTATTAGATTTGTGTATCATTTTATTTATGTTTTAGGTGTCTTATTAATTTTGTGGTTTTTGTGATTGTTGTAATGTGATGATCCCTATAGTTTTAACTGTAGTTTACTGTACAGTTGCCAACAGGTCACCCTACTACAATATAGTGAATTTTCCTAATCAATTTCTATTTTTATCTTCAATATTCTTATGATTCAAAATTGTATGATAGAACGTGTCATTTTGTGGTATTTTATTTGCTGGCGATTGTACATTTATTTCTTGATCTTATTATTTTGAATGTTTTTATATTCCCATGTTAACACGTTGCCTGTCCAAGTCACAACAACAGAGGCACAGACTATGTAATGCACTAGCTGAATCGATGAATAGGTATTGAACGTGGACAGGTGACGCGTTAAATTTTAACAATATTATTTAGATGGACGCTTGTGATAAATACACCTGCATATTTTTGCCGTGGGAGTATCTTTTTGTACCCCGAATTTGACCACATTTTTATCTGCAAATTACATAAATCGAGTAAAGTTCGCTTCCATATTTGGCCTGATTATTACTTTCCATCAGGTAAGGAGATACATACAGGTCAAGTGCTTCCTCGTGGATAAAAAAATGTGTTCAATAAATAGTCCATAGTCCCTTTTTCCTGTGATGCGGACTTTGGTACGCGTGCGGATCTGGCCGCATTTCATTATTTCAAACGTGTTTTCTCTATCCGCGTGCGTGTAGTCTGGCCCGTGAGCACGTAGAATCCCGTCCAATGACCCCAAGCTACCCATCCCTATCGCTCGCGCGTAATTATGTTGCTATCGCGCTCGCACACTCACTGCGGGTGCCAGTCGCACAGTCGCGACAGCAATATAATTACGCGCGAGCGATAAGGATGGGTAGCTAGGGGTCATTGGACAAAATTCTACGTGCTCACGGACCGGGCTTAGCTTGCCTAATGTAGTATGATTCACTTAGTGGGTGTATTTTCCCAAGCGTTCACTCCCCTCCCCTCCCGCTAACATGGTCCTATGTGTGCGTAGGGAGGCGGCTGCCCGCTGTAGCTGAGTTGTTGCGCGCGCGAGGACTAGCCGCGGCGCGCGCCTTCGATGCCTGCTTAGGACAATTTTTACGTATCCTCTCTTTTATTGTTTTGTGGAATATAACACGTTCGTTGACAGTGTGTTGATATGTCGGAATCATTGTTATTTTGACATTTATCGCAAAAAGAACATCTTTATCGAGAAAAATAAATATTATTATTTATAAAAAAATGGATTATTATATCAATTATTTGTATATGTTTGTTAATACATTGATAATGATCACTTCATTGTTATTTCCAAATTATACATTGCGATTTTGACTATTGAATCTGTTGACATTGTCAGTGAACGTGTTAAATGTGGCCAATATAGAGACAATCTAATAAAAACCAGTAGTTCATTAGTAAAGTAAAGTAATTGTGTAAAGTAAACTGTGGCTACACAGTAATTTTACTAATATAATTTTGTTTTTTATAGTAAGTATAATTAGTAGAAATTACAGAAATAATTTTTTTAACTTTTTACTACGATGGTCACTATATTGGCATAATTTCTGTTTGTTTACTATTAGTTTAAATAAAATCACGGTTATAGGTGTAGCATAACGTTATAAGAATGCGAAATGAATTAGTATTTGTATCAACTTACTATAATTTAATGAAATGGCCACAGAACATACTCCTTACTATTAGAATGTTGGATGATTGGTTAAAATGATAACATCATAGAAATAAGTAAGGGAGGTGTAAGTTGAGAAATACTTATTTTTGATGCTTTTCGATTTTTTGCTCATTTCCATAATATTCCTATCAAGGCATCGATACTTAATAATAACCTAATAGATCAATTTTAAGTTTAAACTGCACCTGTAACCGTACTTAGCATTTATTAGGTTTGTAAACAAAATGTATGTTTTGTCGCATGGTTTTAGCTTTGTCTTTTATAATACTGACCTGAGTGAGAGTCTTATAAGTCCTAGTAAATAATTTGAATAAGATTGCTATACAATTTTGCCAATTTGACAACTGACGATTTGCTTTTGTAGATCTAGAACTTTATTCTAAAGACATAAAGTTCAAAATTCACTGCGAAAATTAGTCATATCGCAGTAC